AATAAGGGATTACAATGTGCACTTATATTCTGTATTCAAATTTTTGTAACAAACACGACTATGAATCTAATTGTGCATCATGGGGGGAGGTTTGGAACAAAATCTTATTATGAAATATTTTGATGGAGATATTGGAGTAATTTTCAAGATTGATCTTGATAGATGGTCATATTTTGAGGCAATTGACATTGTTAAAGGAAGACCTTGCGTATGAGGATTTAGTGAGGATGTAGTGACAAGATGAAGTTGAAAGGAGAGAAATAGATGTCCCAGAAGACCTAAGAAGTCAAGAAGGAGGGAAACAAATGAAATTTAAAATAAAACTAAACTTAGAATGAACCCTTATCCTTAGAAGTATAGGAGATGTGGAACTCAAGGTCATAACAGAGGAAATGTCACTTACCACCCCCACCTTCACACCTTGTGTTGAAGACATACTGAACCTAATCCTATTTAAGATGAAGAACTATATGATGTTAACATTGAGCAACCTCAAGAAAACAAGCAACAAGGTAACAAAATTTATAAAAGTTGAATATTATACTTTTTTCATTAAACAGATCTTAACATAATTTTTTATTGTTGTAATAGGAACCAACCAAAAGAATATAAACAGTTGCAAATGAGGAAACTCTAAATAAATTCCCCTGCAAGGATCATTGAGAGTAGTCAATTGGGATTCTTAAAGTTTGAAAAGCCATTTCTTACCTTATTTTGTAAAGGAACATAGGTCTTTTGTAATTTCTTACTTTATTTTGCTGAACACATGTGCGCATTGTGTTCCACTTTTTTAGTTTTATTATAGATAATAAGTATCTAAAAAATAAATTCTCTGGTGTATGATTTTTATGGAAATTGAGTTAGTGGTCAACGGTCCACACAATGCTAATATAACACTTGTTTACCTTATAATATAATGACATCTTACTTTAATTACTGTGCAATTGTGTTAATAAAATCAATAAAATTTGTATTATTAAAGATACTAAAAATACAAAAGTTGTCCAAGTGTTATACCAATTAATGCCAATTGATAAATCCATATTTTACTGGATTATTAGTTAGTTTTCTAGTAGCTTTTAATAGAAAATTATAGTTAAGAAGGTTAAAATCTCATAAAAAAAATGATAATTGTTTAAATAGCTCAATTTTGTTTGAAGTAACTCAATTTGTTTGGATTTAATAGTGTTCTTATGTAAATGTTGTTGATTGAATTAGTTTTATAGGAAATTTCAAGGAAAACATAGGACATTGCAAGGAAAACACATGAAATTAGAAACTTTAAGAGATCAAAGTGGTCCAATGTAATCATTCTAGATGCATAAAGTAGACACTTTAGAGGTTTAAAATTCAATTGAGAAATAGGGGTAGCTATTTTTAATACAAAAAGTATGCATTTAAGAGACTTATGAAATTAAGTATGGTGATTGTAGTTACTTTTTGTGTCAAAAGTAGGCACTTCAGAGGCTTTGAAAGGAAATTCCTAGTGAAAGTAGCCACTTTGAGGTCAAAAAGTGGTCAAGAGTAAGCACTACAGAGGTGTTGAAGCAAGAACATGGTGCGCACAATTGCTTTTTATGGTGAAAGTAACCACTTTGAAGGCTTTTGGGAAGAAAGGTTGTGCGCACTAACACTTTTTGGGCATAAAGTGGCTATGCGTAAGCTTATTGGAGGAATTCGTGGTGTGTATAGCAACTTTTGGGACAAAAAGTTATCACTCCAAAAGCTATATTGCCAAAATACCATGCATATAGCTACTTTTTACACAAAGAGTAGTTACTTCAAAAGCTGTGAACCTGCGCTTAAACACTTTTAGTGCAGAAAAGAAATGCAAAACCCTAACCCTAGAAATTGAGTGACTGACTTCACCATGACTATGAGTTTCTAATTGCTAAAACACATAACAAAAAAAAAATCATATATAATTCATTGTTTACATGTAAACACCTCACATAAAATTTTTGTTACACAAGTCAGAGGGAAGCAAATCATGGCAGGTACTAATTTTAAAATTATTGAAATGTTAGGTACTAAAATAAAATAAAAATTGAATTATAGGTAGTAAAACAAAAGATGACGTATATTAAAAATACTTTAAAGTTATTTAAGCCAATTTTTTAAAGTATAACATATTCTCTCTAAAAATTGTGCCACCCATATAACTTGTGGGCATTGAGTCATGACACAAATATTTTGGTCTTCCTTTTTAGACAAGGCTCAATTTAACTTAACTCAATTTATAGTAGGCTTTCCTCAATTAAAAAAAAAAAAAGAAGCAAAAAGGCACCATGCATGTTAGTTGCTTGTAGCCTTCAAAGTATTACCAACAAATTCATGTCCCCTAATCAAGATTTAGATCCTCTTTGTTTTTAGCATAAATATAACGATCCATTTGAGATTTTTTGTTTAGAAAATCTTACAAAATAACAAAGAAAACTCGCAAAATTTGCTTAAGCAAATTTGTAAGTAAGGTAGAGGTCTTTCTCGTGGGCTTTAATATTACTAATTTCTCATGTAATGGTTCTTGGATAGTACTCTCCAAAATCCCAGAGGTATAATTTCTCTCCAAAATGGCTTTATTCACTACTATCCTTTTAACTTCTTTAGTCTTTTCTTCTTTTACTTGAAGTAAGCTTTCAATGACTAAAATTTCTCCCATTATTTTTAATGGTCTTTTTTGTTACTCAGCTAAGATATGATTATAATATTAACATAATCGATACATAAAGTAGAAAAGAAAAGGTATAGCAAATGAAAAAAAAAATAGAAAAGAGTTTTTTTTAAGCATTGTTGATGAATCTTCAATGTCTTGTGTAAGTTTCAATTTCACTTCTTCGTATAAGCACCACTAAACTAATTTTAAAACTTTAATTTTACCATTATTCATAGAAAAAGTTATTATATACTAATAGAATCTCATGGCAAGTAAGTTGTTACACATGATTAATGATAATAATATTAGTTGGCATTGAAAATGAGAAACTCCTATAATAAAGTCTGATTCTATCCATTTTGGCTTTTTGGTTCACTTGTTAACTTAGCATCAGAGTAATTTTGAAAATATCCTATCCACCTTGGAATAAGTCTTAAACTTAAAAGTAATCACATTCCAAGAGTGATAAGAGCGTTATATGCTAGTATAAAGTCCGTTTATATAACTATGATTTTAGTGTGTGTTTGAAAGGGGAATTTTGAAGAAGAGAAGAGAGAAAATATTTTTAAATTTTAAAAAAAAATTATATTATTTATAATGACAAATACATTATTAATACATTAAGTTTAATTAATATATTAATTTGTATTTTTTATTTTAAAAAATATTAATTTTAAATATATTTATTTAAAATATAAATTTTGCTCTCCTCTTTCCTCCTTTTCCTCCAAAACTCTCTTTTAGTAGTATTTATTGTTGGAACGGGTGTGTATGAATGAAGTGTCGATCTCAAACCTATAGCAAAGTAAGGAAGTGAAGCCAAGCTAACAATAATTTCCCTGAGAATAGTTATTGGCAGTTTGCGTTAGAATGTAAAATATTAGATCTAATTTTCCTCTAGTAAGATTTTCGAATTTGAATCTTGTAACAATGCATCTTCCGAATACTGAAAGTCCAAAAACAAACAATTCAAAACATGCAGTGGAGTAAATTAAATTTCGGAAAATATTTTTCCATTTATTAATAACTAAAAACTACATTTTGTTTAAAATGAAAAAATAAAAATAAAAAAATTTCACAAACCAAACAAAATGCCCCCTCACCTTCAAAGCTATTCCATTATCATTCAAGTTTTGATACTAAGGTAAATGTGTGTTCAGTACTTTCAATGCATAGCGTTTTATTTAATGCATTATCAATACTTTTTTGGCATACATAAAGTGCATTTGATATTTAATAATGTAATCTTATAATTTATTTTAAAAATTAAAATTTATTAACTTGACCAATAAATTAGTAAAGTTATTTGGTCAACAAAAAATAAAAATAAAAATATATTATATTTTTAAAGCTAACTTTTTTAAAAAAAATACCTAAAGTAACATTTAGGACTTGTTTGATGAACATCATAAGATAAAAAAAAGATACAGAAAATAAGATATGATAAAAAAAAAAAAAACTCATCCTATTTTATATTTAATATAGTAAAACAAATTATATCATTTTTTTAACATTTGAAAGAAACAACAGAATAAAATATAAAATATATTTACTCTTGTATCAAAATTAATATACATATTTTTAAAAAAAATTATTTTTAAATAAATATAAATTAAAAATTCAAAAATGTATATACATATATTAAAATTTGATAATAAATTGTTATAATCTCATTCAATTAAAATTTATTTCTAGGTAAAAATTCATAATTAGAACGAAAAATTGTAAAAAATTCAAAAAATATTTTTTACAAATATTTTAAAAATATACTTTTTGAAATTACAAAAATATTTTTATTAGAAGTGTTCACATAATTTTTTATAAAAAATAAACGATATTTTTTAAAATTTTTTTTTTTATAAAATATTAAAAAAAAGTATAAAGAATGAGTACAAATGTAATCGAGAAAAGTTAATTTGATGTTTCCTAATATATCGCTATAAAAATTTGAATTACGATGACTATCCTATCAACAATTTTACTTCTGATTTTTATCCTTCTTTTAAGATAATTTACAGTCATAATAATTATCAATCAACTATTTAACACGATTCATGTATAACTAATTTTAGCAAACAACTCTAATTCAATCAGCTAGCTACCCAAGTATGAGCTATAAGTTTAAGGGCCATAAGCTACAAGGTTGTAAGTTTTAGCTAATTTTACCAAAAAGAGCTGAAACCTGACTGTGCAAATTGGAAATGGTGGTAGGTATATGGACAATAAAAAATCAGCTCATATAAATGAAAAAATGTAAGGAGACTTAAGAACAACCTGATGTAGTTGTCCTTTATGCCCCCATCAGTCACAATTGATAAGAACTCAGACGAGCTTTCCAGGATAAGTTTGAAGACAAAACTACTCTTCAAAATGTTGGTAATGCTTTTGGGTCATCTGAGCTCTGACAGATACAAATTCAGATATCTGTTTTGTCCTTTGTAGCTGTCCCTCTAGAAACTTCATGAAGGAAGTTTCCAAGCAGCCTCTGATCCAAAATCATATTCGGAACCTGAAGAGTAACCGAAAGGTCAAGCCTGTGCACAAGGACAGATAAATATTGACATTGCTGGTAGAGGAAAGGATTACCTTGTCCCCGAAGAAAATCTTCGTATTATTAGCGATGGCCTCGATAAATTTAAGCTGGAGAAATTCAGGAGTAAGCTTCAACCTGTTTGCTTCAGCTTCCTTTATAACACTTGAAATTGGAAAAACTACAAAGTTAAGCATTTCTTTTTTCGAAGACCATAAATTACAATAGCTTATTCATTAACTTAACAGACATCAAAGACATTAAGAAAAGGAAAATCTCACCGGTAGAAGTCTGCATCTGCCAGGCTCTTTTCACGTGCCAGGTACATTTCATTCTCAATTTCTTCTTGTCTTCTTGCACTATCCTTTTCCAACAATTTTTGTTCCATTAGGATCTTGCTAACATTGGCATTCTTTTCAGCCTCACTAATGGCCATCTTCTTCATAGTCTCTGCCTCCTTCTCAGATACTTTCTGTTTCTCAATAGCAATTAAGACCTATCCCATAACATAAAAAATTCACATTGCTTAACATCAATATAAAAGAGAAAAACTAAATCTAAATAAAATGGAGCCTGGCATACTAAAACCTGCTAGAAGCATTTACAAGACTCAATGAGACTCATGTCAGAAAAATGACAACATAAATCAACCATAAAGGGGAAAAAATATTCCTTACATGTGCATGCAGGCAGCACATGTTTAACCCTGCCTACTTCTAATGAAATTATCAACTACCTTGCACCTATATAATTCCATGCATATTAACAGGAAAATGACACAGCTCTTCTTGGTAAAAATATACCTTAGTACGCTCCTCTTCCATTTGTTCAAAGTTGCGTCTTATGCTTTCTGGAATTGTTGGCTTTGTGACACGGACACTGATGATCTCAATTCCTGGAGCATAACGGGTGCAGTCAACTTGAAGAGCATCTTTCATCTTTTCATCAATCTGAAAGGACCCAATGCCTGCCTTGTTAACATATTTATTAAGATGAGACATCAAGAAAGGAGAAAAACCCTAAGGCAAAAAATACACACTGGTATATCTCATCTATACAATGAAGCAAAAGACTCAAAGTCTGGAACAATAAAAACTTAAGACCTGAATAAATTACTTTTTAGTGGATGACAATAGAAGCTATAAGTTACTAAACATACATCAAGCTGTTTCGTACCAAGTCCAACCCTCATGTTTTGCTTAACAATTACAGTATAAAATGAAAGTTACCAGAATAAAATAAACCAACAATAAAAACAACCACCAAGCCTTATCCCACTAGATAAAATTGGCTACATGGATCATATGATGTCATTGAGCTCAATAAAACCAATATAAGATAAACCATGGCTATAAAATTATGCTTCTAAAACTTTAAAATTAACCTGATCAAACACATCAATATAAACTTGTTGAAGAGAATGGGAGCTGCAGAACTGATTGATCTCATGATGAATCTTGTCATATATCCATGTCTTGTCATAATGCACACCATAGTTGAGAAGTGTCTCAAAGACATATTCCTTGTGAAGTCGGTTAACAACCTAAAAGAATAATATACATCACTGCATATAAAATTATTAAAAGATGTAAAAAACTAGAACACTAGTTAATCAAAGATTACATAACAAAATAATATTTGCTACTACCTCAATCTTTTCAAAATTTATCATAACACCTCCTTTAGTACCACATGGTATATCAGTCACCTGTAATAGTCACCATAATTTAAAAATCCAAATTATAGAGCAAAATAAACTGCCATTCATGAACCTATTATAATCAATTTACCTGATCTGTCTGAAGTGTCACTTGAACGGGTTCATACTCAGTTACGAAAGGCATCTTTAGATGAAAACCTGGAATATTAATACCAAGAACATGAAGCAGATTTTGTGCTAGGAGACATTGAGCAAAAAATTTAAAAACAAAGGAGTATTTAGACCTGGCTCTGTAATTGTTTTCAGAAGGGCACCCCCTCTCCAATATACCCCTACATGGCCTTCAGGAACTTGGTGCAGAATGGATAAGGTATTTTTGAAAGATGGTGATGCTGAAGGAACCACAACCTGTAGATTGTATCACATGTTTTAAGCTTCAAGTGTTGAATAGAGTCAATTCAAATGTTTTCCAATTCTAATAAATAGTACCGCAACAAGAACAATAGTTAATCCTTATCGCATTAGGCAGGTCGCCTACATGGATCAAACAATACCATTGTGCTCTATCAAAAACTTAATTTTCAGAAAGGTCAATTAATTCAGAAAAAGTTCCAAGCTAGGCAACATTATTAATAAACAAGCCATGGATAAAAAAAATGTAAGAAGAATATATTTATTTTCTGAAGTTTGATCAGATCTTCTTCCCAATAAATAGTAAGCAAGAATTAATGTCAAAACAACAATGAATTAAGACAAATATCCTATTCATTATCGTTTAACATTAGTAAATTAGAACTTCTTGCCATTCCTCGATGTAAAAAGTGCAATGTTGAGCAAAAGACTAATCAGATAATGCCCCAAGCATTCATTTCATGTAGGCTGTTTAGATGCTACATGTTAGTTAAAATTTCATCTTAGGAGATGGTTACATTCATTTTGACATGATTACTAAGTGCCTGTTTATTTTAAATTTTAGCAGAATTGATTTTAAAAAGTTGAACGCAATTAAGATGTGCGCCCAAATCAATCTAACTCGCAAATTTTACAATATGGAATGTGTGTCATAGCGTGTGAAATTGATTTTAGCTGCTAACCAAATAAATCATTACATCATTATGCGAATGTGTGGCCTATTTATCCTAAAGTGATCAAACAAAATTTAGCATACCACATTTCACCACCACCACCATGCTTTGTCCATTCGATTTAATCCCCGAAATGAGAGCTTATTACGCTTATAGCAATAGCACATAAAATAAAAATGACTGGACAAAATCTTTAATAAATGTACGAAACATAACAAGTTAATGGCTGAGAGAGAGAGAGAGAGAGATACCAGAGCGGCAATGGTGAAGAATGCGAGGAAGGGCAAGAAGATGGAGGTTGATTCATGGAGTTGCGGAGACGGAGGAGAAGGGGTTGTTCGTCGTTGCGAGTCCATGGCGGTGGAGAAGTGCTTTTTTAATCTTATTAAATTAATAATCGCACACGTCTTGTATTCTTTGCGTTTGTGTGAGGTATGAAAACATTGCTTGCTTCACTGGCAATACTCAATTGGCATGCATTGCATCTTTAGCTTCCACCAGAACCCAGTTTCCCTTCCTTCGGTCCACCTTCCAAAACCGTACTTTTAAACCGCCTCACAGCCTATTATAGTATTTTTTGTATGAGAAATATTGCGAAAACACTCTAAACATATCTTTTAATACATTTTTATTATTAACTAAAAATTATTAAAAATTAAACTTATATAATTTTTAATCAATAAAAGTGTATTATAAAAAATATATTTACATCATTATATGTTATATAACATAATAAACCCCTGTTTACACACTTTTTCTGACTCCTTCTAATAGAAATCAAAAATAGAAACGGGTTTATTATATCATTTCTCACAGATAAATAATAAACATAATGGTTCTTTCAAAGGTAAATGCTTTTAAATGTTCATATAATAATTGTGGCAACCGGATACTCGGGTACGACAAAAAAAAACACTTTTAAAATATTAGAGGAGTTGTCATCAAATTTTATTTTAAAAAAATTTTAGAAAAATTTTATATAATAATATGATCTTCGAAATCAAAAATGAGTTTGAGAAAACGATTACCTAAAACTAATTGTGCAAATTCATTTTAATTTTAAAAATATTTATTTATTCTCTAAACATTAATTATTTTTATTTTAGAAGAAGAAAAATTATTTGTTGAAATGTTAATTCAGTATCTTAAAAAAAGAAAAAAATTATTTTAAAAATTATTTTAATTTGATGGGTTTGGTTCCCGCTCCTATGTATCTCCAGGTGCAATGGGGAACTCAAAACTATGTAGTTCTATCTAAAAAAATTAAGAGATTAGTTGATTAAAAATGAATTTAGTAAGAGAAAATTTATTTTTAAATTAAAATTATCTTCATAAAATTATAATGTTTAGGGATACAAGATAACGCAGTTATACATATATTCTACGTGAAATAATACAGAAGGTGAAGAAAGATCACACGCCTATATTGTCAATAGTTAAAAATATTTTGCTCATAAACGAAGTATTTGAATTTTAATTTTGACTATGATTAATGTTGAAAGAAAATTTAAGATAGAGTAAGTTATACATAAATATCTTATAATTTATTGGACAATCGAAGGTAATGTAAATCATACATCCATATTAAAAAAATTTGTATGATAAAGTGAAGAGATGATTTTAATTTATTAAAATTTGAAATATGACTTAAGGAAAATTAAAATATGACATTAATAAATTTAATGAAAAGAGTAAATATTTTTAAATAAAAGATTTATTATTATTTAATAAAAGGATTAAATTTCTTTTGATAGATTTATATTGCATAAAACCTAAGGTAACGTTGGTACATAAAGGTTCTATCAATTTATAACATATGACAATAGAGTAACTACACGTTAATGTTGTAAATTGATATAAATATTGTATTATTTATTTATTTAATAAAATATATTAATTAAAAAAATATTTCATAGAGACAAAACATTAATACAAAATCAAATTACATCAATATTCTAAACTTATACAAAATGCTAAAGAATACACAACCCAAAAAATAAGCAAATAAAATAGATACAAGTAAAAATTCAAGATTTTTTGTGCAAATTTTTTATTATTATTTGATATTTACTTATCTTGTAAAGCTTTTAGTGAGAAAGAGATAAATCTTATAAGCAAAAATAGAAGTCAAATATAATAAATAAATAAATAAAATAAAGTAAAACATAAAATAAAATTAAAGATACATAAGAAAATATATTTCACTAAAATAAACTTAAAATAGATTAATAATAAAAAGGTTTACTTTTTATGTTTTTTTATATTAAATAATAAAAAAAGGACCCTAAAATTATTCTAAATGAGCTATCTGAGCTAAGAATTAAAAAAAAAAAGAAAGAAAAATGGTGCCAAATTGATGGCACCTTTGCTTGTGAACAAATTTGCATCTTTCAACTTTCAATACGATGTTTCGAGAGTAGCATTTCAACTTTCGGCATAGTGCGTTAAATCAACTTTTATTATAATAATAATATATTGTTAAAATGGTTAAACAAACAAACAAACGTTGATAAAGTAATCGAAGACATTTTATTAAATGGTTTCTATCTTACTCTGTTCATGTGCAAAAGCTCAAAATATAGCCCTGAGTCTGTGAGCAAGAAAAGAAAGAAAAACCTTGATGCAGTGTACAAGTTTCAGAGTTAAATGGTAAAGGAAGATGATGAAGCTGCTTAGATTTTTTTCTCTTCTTTTGGTATCTGATTTCTTCTTCTACTCTTTTGTTCTTTCCTCTAGCTGTATACTCTTCTGTTTGTGTTCTTTTTTCTTCTCTTTTTTTTAGATCTCTCAAAAATATTTGTTGTCTCTCTTAAAAATTTTGTTCTTCCTCTCTCAAAAAGATTGTTGTTGTCTTTTCTCTGTTTTTGAAAAACCTCTCCCTTTTCTCTTCTTCTTTTTAAAAGATTTTGCTGTTCTTCCAATTTCTTTTTCGTTTTTCCTCCTCGGAAGCTCCCTTCCCCCTTTTACTTGAGTTTTTATATTGGATATATTTAGAGTTTTTACAAAACGCAAAGGTCCAAAGTTTTTCCAAATTCATGCTTAAAACTGGTCTTTGATGCTAGGTATGAGCTAGGACAGGACTTTCATTTACGGAAACCAAACTCTTTTTTCAAAAGTTTTCTATTTTTTTTGTAAAATGATTTTATTATTTTTTTTAAATTTTGGAGACAATTTGGAGAAGGCAAAAATTGGTATTCACAATAATAGCTAAATAACTAAAAATATTTTTTATCAGAAAATAATATATATATATATATATTTGTATTTAATATATTTTTAATAAAAATAATATTTTTAATTTCTTAATTAATGCCTTAATTATATTAGTTAAAATTTCCCCTAGCGAACAAATAACTAATACAAACAATTTAGTAAAATTATCTCACTATTTAAGATGTTTATTTTTTATTTTATAAATTTTTTTAAATGGTAATTAATTTAAAATGGAAGAAGTATTGACTAACTTTTAAAAAATGATATATTGATTAAAAATTAATATATATTTAATTTTAAAATCTATTTTTTACTATATTAAACTCAGTTTTAAATTCTTTAATAAATATTAAAGATAAAATTTACGTCAATTTACATTAGGATAAAAATTAATTTGAGTGGTAGCTAAAATTGTTTGTAGGGATTTAATTAAATGGATTTTAAAGGAAAATAAATTAAAATAATATAATATATTTATATTTTCATATTAAATAATAATTTTGATTTAATTTAAAAAACAATCCAACTTATTTCACTGCTCTATTTGATTAAAGTGTTAAAAATAACACAAATTTCAAGACAATTTCTACTAAAAGAAAAAAAATTAAAACAACTGTTTTACAAACATTACATGAATTTGAATTGACTTAAAATTTAAAGTTATGATTTTTTTATTTATAAAAAACTCATTAAAGAAACACGAATTTGAAATATTTTTATTAGAATACATCAAAACATACATCTAATTTTTAAGATAATGTTTGATTCATGTTTTAATTTAATTTTTTCTTAAAATTAAAATTATTTTAATAAATTTTATAAAAAACCTTTGTTTATTGTATATTTTTTTATTTTTCATGTTGTTTTTTTGTTATGTTTGACCCTCTTTTGTTAAAAAATAAAAAAATTAAAAATTATATCAAATATAACTTAAGTACAACTCGATTCATACTCCTTTAAATTCATGCAAGTGAATATTTATTGATAAAAAATAATTATTATTATACAATTTTTCTTTTTTACTATTTTTTTACTTTATTATTCTTTGTATCTCTCTTCCTTTATCTTGTTATTTATTACTAATTTAGCTTACTTAAAACATAGAATTTGTAATTCAAATTTTATTTATAAATTAATTTATATTTTTTTAGACCAACTCATATATATATATATATATATATAAAAGTAAGATCTTCTTACACCATAATAAGTTTAAAATTTTTTATATTTAATTTAAATTTTTTATTTAACTTAAATTTAATGAGTTATAATTTATTACTTTAATGATCGTTAGATTTAAATTAAATAAAATACTCAAATTAAATATAAGAAATTTTAGACTTATACTAATGTAAAAAAATTATTTATATATATATATATATATACTCTAACGAATTTAGTTCAACTCAGTTTATTTAAGAATAAAATATGAGTTTATGTCAACTTGAGTTTCAATGATGAGAAACTGGATTATTCACATTTCTTACACCGTTAGAGAAGAAAATCAAGTAGAAAATTGCTCTCACATGATTGTGCTGGTTTCTCATTTCTTCGTAGAATGCAGGTTTACTGGGGCCTAAATTAACAAAAAAATAAAAATAAAAATATTTTTTTTCCAATCCAATAAAATTTAAAGTTTTAATCGTAAAGGTTGATATTACTAACATATTTTTTTTTATCATTTAAATATTCTTTAAATTAAAAGTACCAAAACGAATTATAAAATATGAATTGAATAAGCTTGTTATAAAATTGAGATACCAAAATGAGTCAACTTTTTATATGAATAAGCTTACTTAAAACACAGAATTGGACTTTAAATGTTAGTTGTGAATCAATTTAAACTTTTTAGATTGACTCATTTAAAATTTTAATTAAATTTAGATTAATTCAGTTTATTTAAGTGTAAAATATATGTTTATATTAAAGTCAACTGTAAAACTCTAGTTACTTGAATAATTTTTTTACTATCTTTAATATTCTTTTAATGAGGTGACAGAACCAGTTATGGTTTATGGTTTAAAATAAAAGTTTAAACAGATGAATCTTTTGTGGTAAAGAAAAAGACAAATGAATCTGAATTTGATTAAAAATATTTGAATAAGAAAAAAAAATATAAAACTAATTCAGAGCCACAATTTATAACCAAAATTCTCTAATTTGACCGAATTAATCATTTTGGTAGCTTTACTCTAACGTTATCCTAAAGAAAAAAAGAGGCTTGTAGCATATTTGAAAAGGTAGCGTGTAAAAGTCACGCGCGCAAAATGGCGTGAGATAGGTTGCTGATAATGACAAACGAAACACTGAGTGACACTGGCAGTTACTAACACTCACACATGCCACCTTTCAATTCACCTTAGCCGCTTCCTTTCCCACTCTCCCAATCTGTTGTTTCAATTCCAACATCTTTCCAATGGTACTAACATTAACATGCTTTCCTTTTCCTTCCACCACCAAACTCAAGCTTGTGGCTGAAGCCGATGCATTCCCTTCATTCCTTCCCAATGAAGTCAACAAAATCAATGACCCTTTTGCTCGAAGCCTCGCTACGCGGATTCAGAGACTTCCCGTCTCTGTATATTATTTCTTTCAAACTGTTTCTTTCTGTAATTTTACATTCATTATGTCAGCTATCATCCAGTTTGAATTTGTTAAGTGATTATTTATATTGTTATAATAGAGAGAGAGAGCCTTGTATAAAGAAAAGAGACACTTGAATGGGTGAATCCTCGTAAATAATTTTTATATAATAATATAAATGAATATAATAATAATATTTAAATAAAAAAAAATTAAATGAAAAATTACAATAGACATTTTAGAATAATAACACTTACTTCCGTCTTGAATCGACAGAATCATTTTTTCTTCTGCTCTCCAATAGTTCTCATTTCTAATATTTAAAAAAAAAAATGTTAACTGTTTCTTAGAAGTGAATTTAAACAATTAAAAATGATAATTTTTTAATTAAAAAAATCTAAATTATATTAATATTATTTTTTTAGTAAAAATTTACTATTAAGCTGAAGTTAACATATTAATTTTTGATTGCTCATAAATTATTGATTCATTCCATATGACCCAATCAGGTTAAGTTCTCTGAGAATCCCATCATGAGTAGTTGTGTGAAGCCATTGATGCAGCATAATGCAAGCCCGGTTGTCCTTCTACATGGTTTTGACAGGTACTCAAAACATGCAATTCAAGAGATATAATTAGTTTGCATTTGTATTTTTATTATGCTGAATTTACCTCTGCATTTCATTTCTCTCCTTCTTAATAGGATTTGACAAGAATGGGACGATATTATTATTAACTGATAAAGTCTATATACACGAATGAGAGTGAAAAACCGATAACTGAATGACGACTGACTATTAACTAACACACTAACTACTGTTATTATTACAAGGGTCTGTTACCCACTGGCAAGCTGGAGAATGTGTATCATATATTCCCGGATTGGATTGAATGCTGAGAAAAGGTGTAGGACTAAGAGCTTTGGTACAAATGTTAGGAATTTGTAACTTCGATGATATAGGAAGTAAATGAATGAGACCATCTTTGAGCTTTTCTCTAACAACATGACAATCAAGTTCTATGCGTTTGGTCCTTTCATGGAATGAAGGATTCAGAGCAAAGTGTATGGCAGATTGATTGTCACAATAGAGAAGAACAACTGATGATGAATGTGTGTTAAAGTCTTTAAGAAGGTAACTGAGCCATTGAACTTCACAAACAGTGGCTGCTAAAGCTCTGTTGCTTCAGAGGATGATCTAGCACTGGTAGTATGCTTCTTTGATTTCCAGATGAGAGAGTTGCCTAAGTACACACAATGTCTTTAATTCTAAAGCATGAGTGAAGATCATATAGATTTTATTTCTGAGACGTCATTTCTAGTAAGAAGGATATCATCAACGTAAATTAACAATGCTGTGAATGAAGAGGAGGTGCTTTTAGTGTATAGTGTAGGATCAACGGAACTTTGTTAATATCCCATAGATATTAAAACAGCTGAGAGGGTAGAGAACTGCCATCAGCTGGCTTGTTTTAAGCCATAGATGAATTTCTTCAGAAGACAAGATTGACTAGGTTTGGTCGAGAAAACTCCTTGTGGAAGAGTCATGTATATTTCTTCATCCAATTTGCCATATAGAAAAGCATTATCTACATCTAGTTGATGAAGATACCATTCCTTTGCAGTTGCAACAGCCAGTATCATCCTAAGTGTAGTCATTTTTGCTACTGATGAGAAAGTGTTGAGGTAGTCGATTCCTTCTACTTGAGTGTATCCCTTGGCTAAAAGATAGGCCTTTTACTTGTCAATAGTGTCATCGACTTTGTATTTTATTTTATAAATCCATTTGCAGTTGATGGGATTCTTATTTGGGGGAAAATCACCAATTATCCAAGTGTTACTTCTTTCTAAAGAGGCAAGGTCAACTTTCAGTGCTTGTTTCCAACAATCATGTTTTATAGCTTGTGAATAGGATTTAGGTTTAGTCATACATGTGATATTTAAAGTAAAGCACTTATAGGATTAGGAAGAGACAACTTGCCATATGATATAACAGAAGATAAGGGATAGATAGTACCAATTTCTTTTTGAACATTGGAAGAATTAATGGTGAAAGATAAACTATTATGATAGTTCTGAAAATGACTTGGTAGTTTCTTAGTTCTGGTGAGCATCTAATTTGGTTGGTGTTGTCAATATGCTGTCGTGTGTGTTGTTGTGCTTCTATAGCAGTAGGTCCTATATTACATCAAGTACAAGTGCCATGCTGAAGAGTAACAATAGGAGTATAATTGTTTAAGTGAAATGGAAAGCAAGAAAACAGATTTCATGACCAGCAAAATCATCAATAGATTGTGTGGTAGTATGAAAAGGAAAAAATGTTTTTATAAAATAAAACTTTTCTGGATAGGAAAACTTCTCTAGTTTTCATATCAAACAGCATTTAACCTTTTACGCCATGTTTGAAACCAAGAAAGATGCATTTCTGGTCTCAAGGATCAAGCTTAGTTTTATGACCTTTGAGGGTAGATGCATAACAAAAAGCACCAAACACCTTTAAGAAGGATAATCAGGTGGTTTCCATAAATTACTTCATAAGGACTTCTGTTATTCAACATGGGTGTAAGAATCCTGTTAATTAAGAACACAGACTGAGCAATTGCATAAGACCTAAAGGTTTTAGGTAAATTAGCCTGAAACATGAAAGCACACTTAACATTCATAAGGTGTTAGTGTTTTCTTTCTACAACAAAATTCTGTTGTGGGCTTTCAACACAAATAGTTTGATGAATGTACCTTTCATATTATAAAAGTTAGACATATTAAACTCCTTTCCATCATCAGTTTGTATGGTCTTAATCTTTGCATTGAATTAAGTTCAACTAAACAGAAAAAAGTTTGAAAAACAGATCGAACGTGAGATTTTTTTTTAATAGATATATCCAGGTTTGCCTAAAATAATCATCAACAATGGGAAGAAAATAAAAATGTCCATGTAAAGAGAAAATGGACATAGGGCCCTGTATATCAGAATGTATTAATTCAAAACTAGTAGAAGAACAGGTACTACTTAAAGGAAATGACATCTTTCTTTGTTTGGAAAAATAACAAATATCTCAAACATCATTTTTATTACAAGCAATGAAAGGAAATTGTTGTTTTAAAAGAATAATTCTATCAGCTGAGGGGTGTCTCAACCTACAATGACAAAGACTAGATTTGCTATTAACAATGTTACACTTAGATGTAGAAACATAATTATCTTGAAGAGATGGTGAGAGTGGCATGGGTTCAGTTAGAAAATATAATCCCCCTTCAACTCTAGCTGCATCAATTGATGAAAGTAAATTTGTGAGCAAGATTGAAGGTTAATTTGGTAACTGGAATAAGATTGAATTGAAATGTGGGCAAATAAAGAACATAAAAAAGCTCAAAGGAAGAAGAGAAATATATATTTCTTGAACATGGGGCAGAAAGATAGCTCCCATCAGGAGGACTCACTCTTATAGGAGAAATTCTTTTGTAAGAAGAGAAATATGTAGAGTATTGTAGTGTTGCTAGAAAGGGTAAATTGGATGATCTTTGGTGGGTTCAAAGATGGATCCATCCAAGAAGTTGACCTTGATCTTGGTGAGAAGACTCATGTTCATGGCTCTTGCCCAATTGTGATAATTGGTTTTTGATAGAATAGGTTGAACAATGGAGGATGGATTTTCATTACGATGAATGTAGAGAAGATTGGAGGGATACTGTGTATCTTGAACAGAGTATGGATACGAATTTGTCATGAAGGGAGCAACTAGTTTGCTAAAGGAAGCATCAAAGCTTTAGAGAGATTAAGCTGATACCATAATAGGATTTGATAAGAATGAGATGATATTATTATTAACAGATGAAGTCTTTATTATACAGGCATGAGAATGAAAAACTGAAAACGGAATAACAACTACTATTAACTAACATTAATTACCATTATTATTACAAGGTTTTGTTACTTCTCATTGTTCAGCTCATGTTTAGAATGGAGATACACATATCCATTGCTTGAGGAAGCTGGTTTTGAGACATGGGCCATTGACATTCTTGGCTGGGGTTTCTCGGATTTAGGTTTGCATTATTACTTTTCCTATGTTATGTTCATTCATGTCCTTCTTCATTTTAGTTATTCATTTTTTTCTTTCTCTTCTTGTATCTATTAGGAAAACTTCCTTCATGTGATGTGGTATCAAAGCGTGATCACTTCTATCAGGTACTAATGTGTTAGTTAATGCATCTTTTGGATCCTCGACTTTGCATTGAAACTTTGACAGCTTTTTTGCCAGTGTGGCCATTATAAAGTTGTATATAATTCTAAAGGAAAATGCTAACTAGTGCTATAAGAGCAGTTTGGGAATAAAAGGTGTTTTTTTTCTTTTTAATAATTATAGTGTAATAATGAACTATCCTTATGATTTTTAATGCATCTCCAACATGATTTCTCTAATAAAAACATACTTTTATTGATTCCTGAACTAGGGCCCTTTGGGCATTGGTTAGCGAGAGCCAATTAAAAATTTATGTTTGTTAAATTGTTATCATAATATCCTTTGTTTTCAAACTGTGTGAATTGTAGTAAGAAAACATTTATATTATGGGCTTTGACTTGTTCATCAGTCTATCTCCTATAGAAATGGTTGTCTCCACGGATTGACAAATTTCTCTCAACACTCCTTTCTCTTGCTTCCAATTGTTTTACAATGTGTTGAGGGTGACTTGAATTTATCTACCAGTTTTGGAGGTCCTACATCAAAAAGGAAATGATATTGGTTGGTCCAAGTCTTGGTGCTGCAGTTGCCATTGACTTTGCAGTCAATTATCCAGAAGCTGTATGTGCTATCCAATAATTTATCTTCCGAGTTTTTAGCCTATTTTGTGATGAAATTCTTCATTGAAAAACAGTTCTATCAAGTGACTGGTGATATCTATGCATTTATTTTGAAGTTATTTATTTCAGGTGGAAAAACTTGTTTTGATTGATGCTAGTGTATATGCAGAAGGAACAGGAAACCTAGCAACTCTACCTAGAGTAATAGCATATGCTGGGGTGAGTATAGCACATACTTCACAAAGCCTTGACTTTTGGCCCTTAGCCACATGTCATGAGCAATTATCTATAAATTTATGTCCTCTATCTATACCATTGTTCTAATTGCCCGAGCTAGATAAATTCATGCGTATGTTTAGTTATCTAGAATATTATTCCATATTTTGTTTCTAGAAAATTGTTTGACATAATTCATTGATCATTTTATTTTTGGCTCCTCATGATACCTTAAAGATATGTTTGGGAGAAGGTTTTTTGAGGGTAAAAAAAGGAAGGATATATTTTTTAATTTTAAATTAAGAGAATTTTAGATTATTTATGATGATAAATGCATGATTAATATATTAAGTTTATGTTAATATATTAATTTATAAATTTTATTTTAAAAATATATTAATTTCATATATATTTATTTAAAATAAAAAATTTGCCCTCCCCTACCATTCCCTCAAAAATCTCCATTTCCAAACAACCCCTAAGTAGCTATACCATTTCTTAGCATGACCTTTGGTTTTTGGAAATGACATCTTTTGTTTTTTTTTTGACATCATACTCTTGTTCTGCCATCTTGTAAGCCAGAGTGTAACGAATTGATATTGGATGGCTCATTGGCCCCCTGGAATGAGCCATTAGGTATTTTGACAAAAAATAAAGAACTGTTGACTTAATTCGAAATTGATGGATGCTGAAATCATCATTAGTGACTATGTCCTGTTCCACAGAAATGGAATATAATGAACTAAAAGGAAAAAAAAAAAGAAATTGTCAACCCCCTCCAAACCACTCTTTTCCTGCTCCTCCTTAACACATTTTCTTGACTGTGTTACCAGTGTAGAATTTTCCTCTTCAATTCACTGCTACTACTTGTACAATTCACTCTTCCTCTTTGTTCAGAACAACATTTCTCCCCCTTCTCTCACACAAATGTATGAATCTATGATTTATCAGCCCATTTCCTTTTTTCTCCTCTGCTGTACATATGTTAAAGGCAGCTTTTTGGACTATTCTTTTCTTTTCTTGAGCATTTTGTGCAAGCAAGGAAAACTGGATGTTTGGTCAGGGAGGATGACTTCTCAACGCAGGTGATGAACCAAAATTCCCCCATCTACTGGTCTGGCAAGGAAGACACCAAAGTGTTAGGATTCCCAAATTAGAAATATGTAACTGAAAAGAAAACAACAACTACAAAAGCCTTATCTCACTAGGTAAAGTCGGGTACCTTGATCACATGACGCTATTTGACTGAGGCAAAGACCAAATTAAAATGGAAATGCCCATAAAAGGAAATTCTCAGAAATAAAACCCAAGTAAATGGAATAGAATACTTGATGTATTGTTTCAATTCAAAAGGGATGTTCACAACTACTCATTCTATGTGAGTATTCCTAAAATAACGGCACCTCATCCTCCTGTAACTAACTTACTTACCCTCAACCTTACTTTCCTTTTCCTTGAATACTTCCCCCAAATTCTTGGCCTCTCTTTCTGCTGACTCGACACCTGATCATTTTTTACAATCTGGTGGGCCCTATTAGTTAAGAATGAACACCTCTGATCATCCTCAAAAGGATGACCAAGCTGAGTTGGTCAATCGTCACTTGGAAAATTATTTGAGGAGCTTCATTTCTAGGTGATCAAAGCATTGGCTTTTGTGGATTCCATGGGCTGAATTTTGGTACAACACATCTTTGAACAATATATGGGTGCCCCCTGCCTATGATTACACATTATCTATCTAGGGAAACCATGATAGAATCTGTTTTTAAGGTGCTGGTGGACTTCTCCTTAATTGAGTTCTATGAAAAAAATGCTGATGTTCATCAACGGGACATCACACTTAATGTTGGTGATTGGATCAATGTTAAGCTCAAGCCACATAGGAAGGTTTATGTTGCAAACCACACAAACGCGAATACAAATATAGGGAACAGGAACAAAAAAAGGCTGCGAATATAGGGAGAATATTGTTTAAAATAAGTAACGGAAACGAACGGAATAAAATGCACTAGAAGAGCAAAATCTCCTAATACCCCAGAGCTAGGCTCCTAATAGAGCAATCGCTGCTCTATCTTGCAATAGCGAAAGAACAGAATCAACATAACATTCTACCCCTGTCTCATCGTGCCTAAATAATGGAATATTATTCTTTCTCCCTAACTAACTCTGCCAGCACAACATTTTATTTGTCATTTTCTGATTTCTTCTTTCTTCTCACATAAACAAGCCATTTTTTGGGCCGTGTAACTGCTTCTTGGACTAACATTTCCTCTGGCCCAACATTGCCTTTTGGGTCCCCATCATTTCCCCCTCCATCAAAAAGAATCTTGTCCTCAAGATGTAGATGTGGAAATTGACTCCGGATGTCAGTTGCATTCTCCCACGTAGCCTCTTCTACTGGTTTGTCTGTCCACTGAATCAACCACTGTCTCACCTTTTCACCATGTTTATCAATCACCCTTGAAGCCAACACAGTCTCAGGAGTCCAAATGTCTTCTCCTGTTTCCCCTAGACCTGCAGGTAGTTCAGGTTGCACTCTGTAGTTCCCTACTGCCCTTTTAAGTAATGATACGTGAAAAACTGGGTGTATCCTGCTTGTTTCTGGTAACTTTAGACGATAAGCTACTGCCCCCACCTTACCAATTACTTCAAATGGACCGTAGTACCTTGCTGAGAGCTTGGGATTGATTCTTGTATGAACTGACTTCTGCCTGTGAGGTTTTAGCTTCAAGAACACCCATTCCCCTATGTCAAAACTTCATTCCTGTCGTTTGAGATCTGCTTGAACTTTCATGCGTTCTTGTGCCTTCTGCAATTGTTCTCTCAGCTGTTTCAAAGCTTCATCACGTTCCCATTGTTCCTTCTGTACTGCCTCAACCCTTATTTCTCCTTGAGTTCCCCGGATTAAAGAAGGGGGTTTCCTACCATATACCACTTCGAAAGGAGTGACTTGAGTGGAGGCATGAAATGTGGTATTATACCAATATTCAGCCCACGGAAGCCAATGAACCCACTCTTTAGGCTGATCTGTTATAAAACAACGCAAGTAAGTCTCCAAACACCTATTAATCACCTCGGTTTGACCATCCGTTTGCGGATGGTAGGCCGTGCTCATGCTTAAAGTAGTTCCGTGTAGTCTAAAGAACTCCTTCCAGAATTGACTCATAAAGATGGGGTCTCTGTCACTCACAATTGACTTGGGTACTCCATGTAACCGCACTATTTCACGCACAAACACCTCAGCTAGCACCTTTGCAGTATATGGGTGTTTCAAAGGGATGAAATGACTGTATTTAGATAATCTATCCACCACTACAAAAACAGCTTCATAGCCCTTAGATCGAGGCAGCCCCGTTATAAAATCCATTGAAACATCCTCCCAAATTCTTTCCGGTATGGTCAATGGCTGCAACAAACCCCCTGGTGATGTGGCTAGATATTTTTGTCGTTGGCATGTATCACATGATCTCACATGCTGTTGTATAGTGTTTTTCATTCCTCTCCAATACAGGTTGGCTGCCATCCTCCGATACGTTCTATAATACCCCGAATGCCCTCCTTGAGGTGTTGAATGATATTCTTCCAATAGCTTTGAGACCCAAGGAGACTTCTCTGAAATAACTAGCCTATCTTTATAAAACAAGATACCTTGTTTGTAGCTGAACCCCGTATGATCCTCTCTCCCTGCTTTCAAATGCTCAATAATCTCCTTTAGCCTATCATCTTCATGCACCTCTGCAATAACTTCTTGGATATCTAACCACAATGGATAATATGTTAACAGTCGTATTTCTCCGGTCTCTTCCTTCCTTGATAAGGCATCTGCCCCTCTATTTTCAATTCCCGGTTTGTACACAATGTCAAAATTATAGCCAAGGAGTTTCACCATCCAATTTTGCTGATTTCCCATGATCACCTTTTGTTGAAGTAGTTGTTTTAGGCTCTTATGATCCGTTGTCACCACGAATTTCCTACCCAGCAGATATGGCCGCCAATGATTAACTGCCAAAGCGATGGCCATTAACTCTTTTTCATATGCTGACTTGCTTAGATTCTTCACCCCCAACGCCTTACTAAAAAACGCGATTGGATGTTTCTTTTGCATAAGAATGGCCCCCACTCCTAATCCAGAAGCATCACACTCCACTGTGAACTCTTCATCAAAATTTGGCAATGCCAACACCGGGGCTGTTGTTATCCGCCTTTTTAGCTCTTCAAAGGCACCTTGAGCTGCTTCATTCCATTTGAACGAATCCTTTTTGGTAAGTTCTGTTAATGGTTTAGCCACCTTCCCATAATCTCTAATAAACTTTCTATAGTATCCCGTGAGGCCGAGAAAACCCCTTACTCCTTTAACATTCCGAGGTTTGGACCAATTTAACACTCCTTGTACCTTTTCAGGATCTACCGCTACTCCTTGGTTTGAAATGATGTGTCCTAGGTACTTAACACTTTTCTGAGCAAACAAACATTTTTTTTTTGTTAGCAAAAAGCTGATGAGTCCTCATAACCTCCAATACGTCCTTTAATTGCTCTAAATGAGATTCCCAACTCGGACTGTAAATTAAGATATCGTCAAAGAAAACCAGCACATATCTTCTGAGCCTTCCATGAAATATGTCGTTCATCAGGGCCTGAAATGTGGATGGTGCATTCATTAGTCCAAAGGGCATTACGAGATATTCGTAATGTCCCTCGTGCGTCCTAAAGGCCGTTTTTGGGATGTCCTCCTCCTGCATTTGCACCTGGTGGTATCCGGATTTAAGGTCCAATTTCGAAAAGAATTTAGCCCCGTGAAGTTCATCCAACAACTCTTCTATCACTGGTATAGGAAATTTGTCCGGAATTGTCACTTTATTCAATGCTCGGTAGTCTACGCACATGCGCCACGACTGATCCTTCTTACGAACCAATATAACTGGGCTGGAAAACGCACTTTGGCTGGGACGAATAACTCCGTTTTCTAATAATTCCCTGACCTGCTTCTCTATTTCATCCTTCTGGTGGTATGCGTCCCGATATGGACGCACATTTACTGGACCATGGTCAGGTAGAAGAGTTATGCGGTGGGATTGGGCCCTCTTAGGGGGAAGCCCTTTAGGTTCTTGAAAAATAACCTTAAATTTGTTCAAAATTATTTCTAACTCTTCCTTCTGTTGTGAGTTCAGGTGCCTCAACTCTGATTCTTTTCCCTTGGTGTTAGTATCTTTCGCCGCCATCCTTTCGCCAACGCCCCAGTCAAAATCTTCAACCACGACACCCTTTAACGCCATCTGGGCCGAACGCACATCTTGCGCTCCTCGTAACAGCACTAAGGTACCCCCTACATTAATCTTCATTGTTTGGAGTTTCCAATCTACTATCATCTCTCCCAACGATGCTAACCAAGACATCCCTAAAATCATATCCATGTCTTCAAGGTCAAATAGCAAGGCATCCACCACGCAATGCATGCTCCCCAATTCCATCTTAAGCCCTTTACAGATGCCATTTGTTTCGGTTCTTCGCCCATCTCCCATTAGAATCCGCATGTTCTTTGTGGAAACTTTTCTCCATCCCAGCGCCTCAACAAGCCTTCGAGAGATGAAATTATGCGTTGCTCCACTATCAACGAGCACACATACTGGAATTCCATGGATCCTACCTTCCAATTTGAGTGTTTGGGGTTGTTCCCCTTTTGATTGCGATAACAATAACAGACTGAGTGCACTGCACTCCCCATCGTGTTCTTCTTCTTCTTCGGACGCGTAATGTTCCTCAGATGTGTTGTCTTTTTCTCCTATCTCCACGTCATCAGCTAACATAATTCGCAAATGCTTCTCCGGACATATGTGTTGGGGAGAATACACACCTCCACACTTGAAGCACAAACCTTTTTGCTTACGTTCCAGCAATTCATTGTAGGATAAATGTTTAACCCCTCTATCCTTTGGCCCATTTGTGGATCTGTCTAAAAATTCTTTTTTGTGATTAGAGCCAGGCCCATTAGTACCGCTTCCAGACCCGTAGCCTTTTACACCTCGGTCCCCCCTTATTGGGTTCTTGGCATTGACATTCACGTTGGATCTCGTATACCACTGTGACCCGGCACGTGAGTCTCCTTTTCCATACGAATTTACAGTTTTGCCCTTCACCTGCAACTCCATCTCTACTGCTCTCGTCACGTTCATTAGGCGGGCTCTGGAAAGCGTCCCCAACGCGTGCAGGCTTCTCACCCTGTTTCTAATCTCCTCCTTCAAGCCGTGAAGGAAATAAGCAAAATACTGTTGCTCTGGAATTTTAGGTACCTGTGCAGTCAAAAATTCGAAGTCTCTAATGTACTGTTCGACATCTCCAACCTGACGAAGTGCTGTCAATTGATCGTATGCATTCCCCTCCGCCAAACCTCCATATCTATCCAACAAAGCTCTTTTAAATTGTTTCCATGTCATGTCCTCTTCTTCATTCATCAAAGAGTTGAAAAAATGTATAGTCCCCCCTTCCATACATAGTTGTGCCAAATTGATACGCACTTGATCGCTAGTCTCCTGAACTTGGAAGTAGACCTCTGCCCTAGAAATCCAACCTGCAGGGTCATCTCCATTAAACATGGGTAGTTCAACCTTTTTAACCGACTGACGAAATTCATCCAATGCTTCTCCTTGTAACTTCTTAAGACCTGATCCACTGCGTCCTTGCGACTCCTCCAGTAAGTCACCACCTGGACTCTTCTGGTTCTCGGAGCGTTCACCTTCATCCTCCAAACCTCTGCTATTTCGTTCTGAGTTCTTTGACAGCATTTCCAAGATCTTCGATTGGGTCTTGACATTCTCTTTTCTCATCGCCTCTATAGCTTTCTGCTGTTCGTGAGCCTGGAGACGCATCGCCTCCATTGATATTCTCATTCCTGAAAGTTCTCTTTCTACAGTCTCAAGTCTAGAATCCATCACTGAATCCCCAGTCTCCGACTCAGCTGATTCCGATATTGACCTTGTCTGTTTTTTCTTCTTAGGTGGCATCCACCGCCCAAGTATCCGGCAGGTTGGACCACTGTTGCAAACCACACAAACGCGAATACAAATATAGGGAACAGGAACAAAAAAAGGCTGTGAATATAGGGAGAATATTGTTTAAAATAAGTAACGGAAACGAACGGAATAAAATGCACTAGAAGAGCAAAATCTCCTAATACCCCAGAGCTAGGCTCCTAATAGAGCAATCGCTGCTCTATCCTGCAATAGCGAAAGAACAGAATCAACATAACATTCTACCCCTGTCTCATCGTGCCTAAATAATGGAATATTATTCTTTCTCCCTAACTAACTCTGCCAGCACAACATTTTATTTGTCATTTTCTGATTTCTTCTTTCTTCTCACATAGACAAGCCATTCTTTGGGCCGTGTAACTGCTTCTTGGACTAACATTTCCTCTGGCCCAACATTGCCTTTTGGGTCCCCATCAGTTTAAGTTGTTAGAAGGATTAATCCAAAGTTGTTTGCTATATTTTTATAGCGCTTTTTAGATTGCATCTCATGTTGGTATTGTAGCTCATAGAATTGATTCTTATCATAATGTTTGTGATGTAATGGAATTGCTAAAATCACTCATAATTCTGATGCTGATTGGGCAGGATCATCATCAGATAGAAGATTTATTTCTAGATATTGTGTTCTAATTGGAGGAAATATGATTTCTTAGAGCAGTAAAAAGCATAACATAGTTGCTCAGTTCAGTGCTGAAGCCAAATATTGTGCTATAGCAGCTGCTGCATGTGAACTTACATGGCTTAGAGAACTACTTCAACAATTAAAATGAAGAGATATTCAGGAGACTAAGCTTATATATGATAATCAAGTTACACTTCACATTGCCTCAAATCTAGTCTTCTGTAAATGAACTAAACTTAGAAATATATTGTCATTTCATAAGAAAAAAGATTCTTTTTGGAGAAATCACAATTGAATTTGTCAACTCTCGTAACTAATTGGCTAAAATATTCACTAAATCCCCTAGAGAATCTGATGTTGACTATACTTGTAACAAGCTTAGGTCATATGATAGATATGTTCTAACTTGAGGGAGAGTGTTAGATAACAATCAAGGATTTGATAATAATCAAGGATATGATTAGATTTATAATTATAAATTAGGAATTTAATTGATTCTTTTGTAATTATGATTAATTCTATTGTACCTCATTATATTATTTGTTAAGAGGTTCCACATTGACTAGAAAGAAAATCAGAATACTCTTTATAAGGGCTTCAGTAGTTCTTCATTTATAAGCTAGCTTTTAGTAGTAAGTTAGGCGCAATTTTTTTGATATTATTATTAAACTTAATTATATTTTTGGTTCTTATAAAAGTAGCACTTTTTAAAATTATTCTTTAATTTTTTATTTTATTTTGTTAAGATTTAGTCTTTGACATTTTTAAAATGTATAGAATTACTTCTTGTTGTAACTTTAGAGACGACCTTCAAAATAGTGAAAGAGGAGAGAGAATGATAGTAGGGAGGGAGGTTAAAGATAGATTAAATATTAAATTTTTAAAATAATATAAATATTTTTTAGGAACTTTTTTTGTAAATATTAATTTTTAAATAATAAAATATTAAAAATAATGATGACATGATAATGATGAGCTAGAACTCTGTTATCTAATTCATCACTTGACAGAGGACAATTGACAGCAGAGATTAATTCCAAACATTTTGAAAATATCATGAACTAAATCTTAACAAAATTTTTAAGGACTAATTCCAAAGGTTGTTATTTTTATCATAATAAAAAATATAATTAAGCCTTATTACAAATTCAATTCTCATGTGATCATATGACACAACAATAAAAAATCTCTTCTTTTATAGATTTTATTTCTACACTCCCTCAAGTTAGAGCATATAAGTTGTATAAACCAAGCTTGCCACTAGTATTATAAATTCAAGGTCCTCATAGAGCTTTTGTGAGGACATTTACCAACTGATCTTTAATTTTGACATAACTAGTAACAATGCATTTTGATAAGATTTTTTCCTTAGATGAAGTGGTGGTCCAGTTTTATAAGTTTGGCCTGCACATGAAGCATTGGATTTGAAGAAATATCCAGTACAGCTTTATTGTCACATATTAGCTGCTTTAGCTTACCATCATCAAATTTTAATTCCTGAAGCAAATGTTTTAACCAAACAAGTTCACATACTGCTAATGCCAGGCTCAATATTCTGAGAGAAGACCTTTGTCTTCAATAAATAAGTCCCTGTCATGATGCTTGTTTGATGTATCTGAGTGCTTATAGAGATTAGCCAAGTGCAGCTGATGCTTATCTTGTGTATGTCTCTCCAGTGTCTCCAATATCCTCAAATTGCCTTCCCATTTATGGTTTATGAATGCTACTTCTTATTTAGTTTAATTTCTTTAATCACGCTTGTTTATAACAAACTTAAAAGATAAGTAAGCATTAGCTTGAGGGGGTGTTAAAATATGAGGATTGTTATTTATGTTTGGAACTTATTAGGTTAGTAAACTTTTTGGGTTGAGCTCATACTAGTAGTACTACAATAATACAAGACATGATTATTAGTATAAATAAAAAAGTTGTTGGTGCTTTGCATTATTATACATCTCATGTCAACCTAATCTCATATTGTTGATTATTCTTCATAATCCCATTTTTGCTCCTTTTTCCCACCTAAACCTTGTAAGTGCAATAATATCTTCAGTAATGCTTGTTTAATCTCTTCACTAGATTTTTTTGTACTTCTTTTTTGGTGATTAAAATGATAGGATGAGATTATTGATGTCTTAAATGGTGCATGTTTTTCTCATAGGCTCTATTTTGAATCAGATATATTTATTGAAGAGCATTCCATTACGCTTATATGCAAACTATTTGAGCTTCACAAACATATCTTTCAGTACCAGCCTTGATTGGACTAATGTGAGTAGCCAGATCCTAACTTTCACTTTCTTTAATAATGTGGTGTGTTTATTTCACATTTACTTTCAAGTCCATAATGTGCCATTTGGCACATGTACACTTTGACACCTCACCATCATCAGCTGAAGCACATTCTTGTTTATAAGATAGCCCAGAGACCAAACATCAGATATTTGTTATAAAGCTGTTGAGAGTCTGATACATAGTTTTTTAAATATGACATCCACATTGAGTGCAGCATTTTAAATGGCACTCATTTACTGCTATCTTTAGATGTTGCAGAAAAAAGTTGGATAATGTGGTCTTCATATAATCTTATATAGGTGGGCCGCTTGCATTGTTTGTTGCCTTGGTGGGATGATGCTACTGTTGATTTTATGACTAGCGGTGGTTATAATGTTGCCTCCCAGATAAAAAAGGTATTTGCAGCATTACAAGTTGATAGGTGTTTTATTTGTTGTACTCTACTTTTAAGGCATTTGGACTATAGATACCCTTTTAACATGGACGAATACTTTGTAATAATCTGCCTATGAATCACATGCATTTTGATGAATCCATGAGGTGCTGTGTTCCTTCCCATAACGTACTTGTAATGTCTGAAAACATGTTTGTATGCTTGAAAAAGAGCAATTGAATTCAGGAGTAGAATTGTTTGATGTACCTTATTCTAGAATGAAGTAGTTTTTTCCCTTATTTGTCCCCTCAATTGTTTCTAGTACACCTTTAGATGAGGCGCATCTTAAACCCTTTTAAAGTCCAGAAGCTTGACACCCTACTGATCAAGATGTTTTGATGTTGAATTTGTTTAACAGGTAAAGCAGAAAACACTCATCATTTGGGGGGAGAATGATCGCATAATCAGCAATAAACTTGCAGTGGTTAGTTAGTTCATAGCACTTCATCCTCTATGAAATATGATAATAAACACGAAAGATATTATATGACATGCTGAAAAATTATGAATTTGAAATAATTCTCTTATTTTGTTTCAGTGGATTTGACATCTAGGATATGCTATTGCCTGCTAATGCGATGACGTGTGAATTTTTACTCTTTCAGCGACTGCACTGTGAATTACCTGATGCCATTATACGCCAAATACCCGATTGTGGTCACCTTCCCCATGTTGAAAGACCAGATTCTGTTGTAAAATTCATTGTTGAATTTGTTCAGAGCAAGACCAAGACAGAAAATCGATGTGTTTCCCCAGTATGACAAGAAGCATGCCATGTCTATGTTGTAGCTGTACGTATGTCTATGTTGTAGCTGTACGTGTGTGCGATTCAAACTCTTCAAATTATTCTAACTGCATATATATATATATATTCTTTTATTTTCTAGACTTTATTCCAATACAAATTTAAATATCACAAAAATAGATTAGCCTTTTATTATTTCCAGAATGGTTCATGTTCATTAATTTAAGACAACAATTCTCTTTCAATTTTTGTGTTGTGTTAATTTTATAGCAATTATATGTTTTGTCTTATAATTTTAAATTTTGTTGTATTCTCGTGACTGTATGTAAGTGCTTTTTATAGTATAAGTTGAACACCTTTTGTCATTCTCTTTCACGAGGAGCCTGGAAATACTCTCTTTCCCCAAGCAAAGAGTTATGGAGAAAGATGGATCCAGATCCGTTCTAATTCATGCGAAAATTTCTGTTTTCACTTCAACAAAGCAAATTCGTTTATGCAAAAATAGAATTGGACTGTTTTCGTGGATCCATGTCCAAAAAGGATAGCCTAATGTAGTTGAATGGTAAACTTTTGTCGTGTCATGTACTGAATTGTTTTTTTTGAATGTTCATGCCAAAGCACTAAAAATTTCCATATTGAAGAATATGAACTTTAAATGCATAGATATTGTTCAGGTATAACTCTTGAAAGCAATCTGTCATTAAAATGTTGTTGATGGTGTCAACTTTATTATTGTTCGGTAAGATAGCAAATATTAAAATGGCTGAGTGAGGCATGTCTAGTATTAGTTAAATTATTCTCTGGCTAGGGTGTTATACAAATGAGTTAGTATCAAACAGGTTGGAATTTCGAAGGAATCATTCTATGCATAAACAAGTTCCAACCTTCATTAATTGGAGGAATCATGCTTAGCATATAGAGAGAAAAAAAATGTCACTATTGGTTAGCGTTTTTTCACCTTTTGGATAGAAACCCAAAATAAGTATCTCTTTAATTTTACCATAAGCTTCCTGGATATTTATTATTATTATTAAAATTGAGTAAAAGTTAGATTTTTATACCACTTAATAATCTTTTATAAAATACAAGATTAATTAAGGATGACAATGGGTAAGGTACTATAGTACTCATCTCTATACCTGCATTTTAAAAAAATACTCATACCCAGTCTTATACCCGTGTGAATATGAACATTAATTCTTGTACCCATACCTTCTGGGTACTTGTATACTCATCTTGTACCTATTATTTGCTCTTGTTTGAGAAACAAAATATTTATAAAGAAAAATATGTTTATATAACTTCACATAAGTAGCATAATAATACAAAAATTTAATATGTAGTTGTCGAACAATGTATAAACATAGATTAAAAACAAATATTCAAAGATCCCAAGTGCTAAATGTATCTTAATATAATAATTTTTTAAACTAAAATTTTTAGAAACAATAAGCGAAACTAAACACACAAGTTATTTGTCGGCGATAACTCTATCTTGTGAGAGATTCGATCGATCGGCAACGTCAGAGCGACAACGAAATAGAAATAACTCTAATGAATAACATTTCATAATTGTTAGGTTTTAATGGGATAGATATTAAGAATGAGAGTAGAGTTAGGGTAGAGAAGTTAAGTACTAACAACGAAAGGTAGATACATACAATATATTTTTTTAATTTTTGAATTTGAATTTGTAAGAAAAATAATAGATTTAATTAAAATAATATAATATAATTAATATATATGTATATATTAATACTAGTATTTTTAACTCATATACTATACGAAAGTATTTTGTCAAAAATATAAATTTTTGAAAAAATTAACAAAATGGTCACAATAAAACTTTATAATAAAATTTTTGAAAAAAATTTAAATAAAAGATAAATGGTCACAATAAAATTTTATAATAAAGAAATATATGTGTATATCAAAAAAATTATACTTTTATCAAAAGAAAAAATAAAAAAATAAAAATTAACAATAATTTTTTATATTTTATATCTTTCAAAAACTTTTTTGAACATAAATAAATAGTAAAAATAATATTATTTAAATTTAATAGATTATAGTTATACTTGTAATATATATGTTGCATAGAAAAATATTATTTTAAATTAAAATATAAAAATAAAATTTAAATATTATTAATAAGTAATAAGTTTACGTTAATAATAAGTGATTGTAAATTTATAAAATATTTACAATATATTTATTATTTATCATCCACTTTATGATTTAAATATCAATATAATTTTATTAACAAAAATATTGTATGAAAAATATTTTATGTGTGTTATATATAAATAATATTTTAAAAAAGTCAATCTCATATCAACAATGTAATAATTAAATTGTATTAACCTAATTAAATGATATAAAATAATAAATAAATTTTTCTATTAAAAATATAAACCAAAATAATTTTTTTTAGTTTACTTTATTATTAAATATATTTTTATATTAATCTTATATAACTTCATATAAGTAATATAATAATACAAAAATTTAATGCATAGTTGTAGAACAAAGTTTAAATATATATATATATATATATATATATATATATGCGAATGATGAAGTTAGTACTTAGATGCCCGTACCTGCATCTATCATCATTAAAATTTATAAATTTTTACTCACACTCGTACCTGCTAGTAAATAGCCTACCTATTATGGATAAATTTTATAAATGTCCATCGAGTGCTTTACTTATTGTCATCCTCAAAATTAATCAATCTAGTAAATTAATTTTACAAATTTTATATAAAAATAAAATTAATAAATACTTTATTTCGTTACTTTAATTTGACTAATATATAAATATTTAAATTATGTAAAATTATATATATATATATATAATTATAAAAATAATATAAAATAATTTAACAGTTAAATTTATCACTTTCAAATTCTGGTTAACCATAAGTGGCAGATCTCTTTTCTCTCTCCATATATAGACATTTTTTTTATTTAATTTCAGTATATTTTCATTATTGATATAGAGACAATTTATTTATTTGATTATATTTACATATTTTGATTTTGTTCTCAATTAGGAAAATGTCGGTGAGAGCCCGCGCTATTATATAATTCAGATTTGTCGGCTATGTTTGTCATGATTCAAACTAAAAATGGTTCTAAGTTGTTATTGACTTTAGCCTTTCAGGAGCAATTACGTGCAAAGGAAAAATTAATAAGAGAAAGGGAAAGAAAATTCACAAGTGATCTCGTATTGTTCATACAGTGACCTTTGAACTACCTTTACTTTTCATTCATATGCACCCATCGCTTCTGTGAGAGAGACTCGGAATTGTTGTTCTGTGTATCACGGCCCCCAATTTTATCCCAATACATCTTGACAATTTCTAAATTGAGTAATGAATAGGCATGAGCTAAAAAATGATAAATGATAAAATTAAATTGTTCTTTCTTTTCTTTTCAACCAACCTTAATTATTTTAGTCTAAATTTCATAAGATCTACACTTTACCATTTTAAAAATAATTTATTTTAATGCATTTGAATGATTGTAAATTTATATTTACTCTCAATGCCATTAGTTATATAAAAAATTATAACTTTTGTTTTAAACTTACATTTACAATTTTTACACGTATTTATTATCATTATATATATATATATATATATATATATATATCATTCTCTAAAATTAAGAATTAAAAAGTTAAGACTAAAATAATTTGACACTTCCATTACTAAAACGAAGATTTTTATTCTTTTAAATTATACAGTACAAGGTGATTTAATTTGTCTTTGAACACCCAGCATTTTCCTCACGAATCAAGGAATAAAACCAAAGAAAAAGAATGGAAATAAGGAACGAGAGCAATGGTGTCAAATGCAAACCAAGAAGGAAAGAGTTGAAAAAGGGAAATAAATAAATTGAGGGGCAGAGACTTGAGTAGCCAGCTAACATGAAATTGAATCATAATTAAAAATAGATTATATATGGGGTAGGATTCCATTAAATTAAAAAAATAATTGGCTGTCAAAGTCTTAGATGTACAAATGGAGAAAAGCCAAAAGGAAACTGATGTGGTTCTACTTCTACCTCTCTCAATAGTAGTAGTCATAATCAAAATATATCACCACTAAACAAGGAACCAAATTCCCATACCCTTTCTTTTATCCCTTGGGAGGAACAAAACAAAAAACGGGTTTGCTTGCATACTTTGTGGATGATTCCCAGTTGTGAAATTACTTCAATACCCCTTCCTGTCTTGGCAAAATCTCATCCACACATCAAACCCCATAAATTTTTAATTTTTAATTTCCTACTACGCTGATGCCACTGTACCTTCAGACTCTGAATGCTAACCAAAAGGTTAGAACAAAGAGCAATAGCAACTTAGCATTGGTGCCTTCCAAATTAGCTCCATTGTCAGTGGGACTTATTCCAGTTGTAGAAGTTGGACTTATTCCAAACACATTAGGACTACCAATTGTTGTGCCATTGCCTGTTCCTGTGCCTGGAGGTGTACCTATTGATGGTGTTGTTCCTGGTGAACCTGTTGAGGGTGTTGTTCCTGGTGAACCTGTTGAGGGTGTTGTTCCTGCATTGCTGCAAGAGACCCAAAATAAAGATGCATCTACATAATAGACCTTAAAGTAATATAAGAATTAAGAAGTATGACTAATTAAATAATATGATACATGAGTACAGACCTATGAAATAATTGCGAAACATTCAAATTGTGCCAGCTCATATTTCAATAAAACAAGCATGACACGGCTAATAAGTTAACTTTTTGGCAAAAATGAAGGCACATTTCCAGTTCAGGGAGGTGAGTACATGAGCCAAATAAATGGCTTTTAGCTAATTTATAAGACAAACTAGTTTCAATTGCCAGTTTTGGAATTACAACAAATAAAGCCCAGTTTTTGAAATGCCCTTTAGATGTAGCTCACCGAAAAAGTAGCAAGAAAATGGGATATAATGCTAAAACTTACCAATGCCTCTCTAATCACCCCAAAGAGAAAAATGGAAACTTGAAAAACAGACTTAAAAAAGTAGAAAAACTGGGTAAAAAGATCAACTTTACAATTCTGTACAAAGAAAAAGGATCTAAAACAGAGCACCCAACAGTTAACCATAAAACGCTCATGAGAAAGGAACTTTCCTCAGGATTCCAACCACACACTCGATAGACTCAAATTCCTTGAATTTCCAAAGAACTCACCCAATTAACTGGATAGTTAAAAAATTAAATAAACCAAGAATAAGATCCATAATAAAAAAAACATACCCTGGACTTGAGGGGTAAACACATCCAGATGATGTAGCTGTAGAAAAAAAAGGGATAAAAAAAAGATAAATACACAAGGGAAAGAATATTAGCAAAAGTGAAATTCTAGAACATGTGGCCAAAATAGGTGGGCTTGGAGGTACACATGAAACTTACCAGGTGGGTTTGGACTGGTTTGGGCAGCACCTGCAAAATCACAGCTACCTTGAACATTGCCCTTTCTCTGATAATAGCTATTAACAGCGTAGTTACAGTGATCCTTCACAGTGTTGGGTTGGTAACAAGCCCCGTTTTGGAGAATAGGAGTACAATCAGCTCCAGCTCCACAAGCATAATCTATTGCTTTCTGAAGGTTTTGATCACTCACACCATCTTTGCATACACAATAAAGAGCACCTATAAACCACAATTAGGAAAAACTGTTAGTTCACACCAAAATCTTATCTTATCAATATAACAAAATGAGAAGCATGCAATCATCCTCGTTTCCTTTTGTTTGTCTTTATAAAAGAGGAGAGGCAAAATACAGGGAAAAAAATTTATTCAGAATTTTCTTGGCCCTTAAAATCACCCTAAAAAAGCTTTCATCTTTCAGCAGAACAGCAGAGAAGGCCCCTTACAGAATACAGAAAACCAAAAATTGAAACAAGAAAAAGATAGAACTGCAGCTAATCATAAGAACCCACTTCAGAGAAAATATAAAAGGGTGAGTTATTAGAAAAAGGAAAAAACTTTTTAATGAGATGTTGAAACTTGAGAAAACAAAGAACCAAATCCAATTCAGGTGCTTACTTGAATGGCCAGTCAGCGCCAGGAAAAGCACAAAATACACCAAAATAGCCATAAGAAGAGAAATTTATTGATTTGATGTCAGTTGTATGAGCTTGTTGATGGAGCTATTTCTGTCCAAGGCAGGGAGAGAGAAAGAGGAGAGAGGTAAAAAGAACAAGGAGAATAATGGGTATTTTGTGGACAAGAAAGACATTACTGTCTGAAATGCCTTTTAAAGTGGTTTAACAGGCGTTATTATTATTATTATTATTATTAAATATAAAATGCAGCACATAAAAATTAAAAACACAGGGGATGTGTATTCTCGGGAGTTGTATTACAACTACACGTGTGATCGAAAGTTCACTTGATTTTGTTTAGGTTGGCAACGTGGAGGGGTGATGAAATCAGAGCAGTGCCATGTGGGACTTGGCATGAGGTTGCTGCCACTGCTCCTACCGCCACAAGATTCTTCCTTCAACTTGTGTTCCCTACACCATTTAGCAGCTCTACATATTCATCAGGTAATTGAATCCATCTCATAAATTCAACTCATAATAATTTTATTACATGTTAATAATAAAAATCATATTTAATTAAATATTTTATTATATTCAAACAAAATAATATAATATATATTAAAATGTGTTCTATTAACTATTATAAGTTTTTATTAAAAACAATATTTTATTTTAGTCATTATTGTCAATTTTAAGTAGAAAAATAAAAATAACAATTATTGAAATAAATTACTAATTTTAATTATGAAAAAATAGCAACAATATTTACAATAATGTATCTAAACGTCGTCGTTTGTTAAAACAAATTATCCAGAATTATTGCATTGATGAACCTTGTCCATAACTTTTTCATCGTCGGCTTAAACATAAAGTGTTTTTTCTTTACAGATAATAAGGAGAAGGATTTAGAACGGACAAGAATTCTCTTAACAGTCCAGCGTATGCAGCAAAAATCTTTATCATTAAATTTGCATTCAATGGTTATAAAAGGTTGGAGTACTTTAGAGTATATCGATTCTATATTTTACAATTAATGGTTAATATAATTCTATATTGATCAATTTCTTTGTTAGAGAGACGATATAACTGGAGATAATTCAAATTTATTAAGAACTTGAAATTTTATGATTATTTTTTTGAAAAATTAACAGCATATGTGCTACTTGATGCTATCTTATATTTATATTTTATTCTTATATGTCCATACATTCTAAAAGTATATTCTACTTGCAAAAGAAAATACCTAATTATTCCATTTTGATAATTAGAAAACATTCTCCTTAGAACTTGTTTAGCATTGTCAAATCAAAAGGGTTAACTTAACGTGTTTAAACATATTACCTAGTTGCAAAAGAAGCAACGATTTCCTCACATCAACTTGTACAAGGCTAGGGATTGGGTTGGAAGAACGTAACATATGGCACGATGAAATGCACCAAACATATAATCTGAGATGGTAAAATTATAACGTGTAAAAATGAAATAAAAGAAGTGGGTCCAAATGCAATCAAATCATAAAAAATAAACAGATGTTGCGAGGTGATTATGAGTGAGTACGTAGCATTCCACTTGTAGTTCTTTCTCAATTGGATATTGATGGATTACCCAATTAATATGATACATGTAATGATCTCAAATCGAAACACAAAAATTATAAAATTCCCCTATTCTAATTTATTGTAAAATATTAAAAGCGATAATATAATAAGTTTGGCATTTTGTATGTTGGTCATGTCTCTATCTATTTACTTGCATTGTTAATATTAAATTTAAAATTATAGCATTGAATATTTGTTCATGATGTATAATTTTGAAAATATATAATATATTTTATGTCGTTGGATTTTATTACTTAATGATTGACAAAATTCCAAAATTGATCTCGTATCGTTATCCTTAGAGCAGCGACAATTCCTTATGCAAACAATAAAAATTATATATTTTTCTTAACCATAATTTTGACCAAAATAATTTCTAGAGTAACATTGATAATTTTATCAACATCTTTTATCTTTTATTAGATTAATTATATTTTTAGTTCGTATAACATATTTTACAATAAATTTTTATATAATTTTTTTAAAAAAGTTAGTTTCTAATATTAAAAAATTAAATTTTAATTTTTAGTGTCAACTTTTTTTTTAACTGACAAAAAATTAACTTAATACTCTCACATGACATATCATATTATTTAATTTTATAAAATTTTATTATTTAAAATTAATATTTATAAATAAATTTTTAAATATATTTTAAATATTTATAGAAAAGTTTCTTCTCCTTCTCCTTTTTCCACTCTACCCTTTTTTGTTACCCACTCCATGATTGACTAAAACCTTTCATTTCTCCAGATAAACTAAAATTTCTGAAAACAATAGAGTAATAGAAGAAGAGAAAGTAAAGGAAGTACTATAAAAAAAACTCCTAAATGAAACTCAACAAACATTGCTAAATTGAAACTTTAAAAGCTACCCTAAAACACAATATTTAACAAGTTTAGAAAATTAGAAAAAGTTGATAAAGAAAATATTGTCCATTTATAAAGCAAAAAAATACCTCAAAAACTTAAACCTTGAACAAAATTATGTCTGCAACTACTTTAATCCCTAACTCGATAGAAGAAACTGTTGTGGGGAGAAGGGTATAGGGTGAGATTGGTGATGAGGTAAAAGGGAAGGGGTGTGGGATGAGGTTAGGTGAAGGGGAAAGAATGTGAGGTTGAGAGTGGAGCAAGGGGAGGGGGTGTAAGGGTGGAGTTGAGATTAGGGGTAGGGTAAAAAGGAAGGGTGTGAGATAGGGTTGGGGTTGGGGTGAAAAGGAGAGAGTGTGGTGGTTGGGATTAGAATTGGGAGTGAGATAAAGGGGAGGGGTTGAAGATTGGGTGAAGGGGAGGGGGTGGGGGAAAGGGGAGAGGGTGAGATGGAAAGGAAAAAAGAATGAATTTTTTTTACAAATATTTAAAATGTGTTCAGAAACTTATTTGTAAATATTAATTTTAAATAATAAAATAATATAAAATTAAATAACGTGACATGTCACGTGGGAATGCTAAGCTAATTCTCTATTAACTAGTTTAGTATTTAACGGAAGGAAGTTGACAGCAGAGACTAAATCTTAACTTCCTAACATTTTAAGGACTAAATCTTAATCAAATTTTTTTTATAAAGACCTATCATAAAACTTGTTACATTTATAGAAACCAAAAACATAATAAAGTTTTTTCTAATTGATTTTCTTTAATAATATAAGTTATATCCATCTTTAATTAGGAAGAGTGAAATTGTGTAGTATAAGTCAACTTCAAAATGCAAACAAAATTTGGAGAGCTTAATGGATCGATTCATTAACAGATAAGGTATGGTCATATCTAAGTATTGAATCAACTTAAACATTTGGTACCCATAAAGTTTGAAAGTTGAGATGTTAGAGAATGTTTAAAGAGACAATATTTTTATAAGAAAGAGTTTAATGTCTAAGTCAGTAAAAAATTGGTTAGAATAAAGGATTACAAGATAGCATATTTAGACTAAAGAATTACATCCTTATATAGGCATTATTAGCCAAAGTAGATATGTTATCATATATACCTTATACTGTAATTACTTGAATACAGAAGTTCGTTTAGCATTGATATAATATATATAATGCGTTTGATAAAATTAATATTTTGTCAAGAATATTAGAATTGTTAGATAATGAAAGTGTACTTATATGATAATTGAACTTTCAAATTGACACTCAAATTTAAATTAAATGAGAGCGATCATTTATTCCATGTTAACAAGTGGTTGATTACTAATATGATGGCAACATGAAATCTATGGTAAACTCAATAAAAATTCTCTTTTTACAACAAATTTGGAGAAATGGTAATGGTATCACAATTTGATGAAGATTAAATATTTAACTCTTGATCATTATATTATTCATGTTTGTATTCACTAAAATTAATAAGTATACATGAATATATATATATATATATATATATATATATATATAACAATTTAAAATAAAAAATAAATATTGTATAATTTTTAATAATATTATATTATATTATTATTATTATATAATGTTATTACGGAATATATTAAATGTTTTTTAATAAAAAAATATATTTTATGAGTATATAAATATTGTAAAGTGAGTATTATAATATTTCATTTAACTTGATTTATGAATATGCAAATATTTTAAGTACATCTACGTACACCTATAGGTACAAAATTGTTTATATTCCTAATTGTTATTAAGAACCCGTTTGATAGTTGGAGAATAAGATCAAAATAGATACGATAAGAAGATTTGATAAAAGTAGGATATGATAAGCATACGATAAACTTTTAGCATATTCAATATTTGATATAAATTTGAATGAAAAAAAATATGACATATATATATATATATTAAAAATAAATAAATGAAAAGTAACAAAATAAATTAAAAATATTTTTTAAAAAATAATTACCATCTTTCTTTTCTCTTGTAATCTAGTCATATTCTTATTATAATTCAATAAAAATAAGACCAATAAAATAATAAAATAAAATATTTATATCTTCATAATTAAAAAATATATAATATCTATCATACTTTATCCAAATGGACTCTAACATAACGAGACAAGTTACATGTTGATAGAAATAATTTAAAAATAGGTTGAAGGGCCGGCCTTATATTCATTCATATTAATACACACAAAGTTACTGATCCCAACAAAACGTTAGCCAACTTGGACGAGTCCGTTTAGCTTACATACCAACCCAACTTTTATATATTTAATTGGGGTTTTGACAATTCATAGAGATGAATTAGAATTAGACCAAATTGATTCCCTAAGAAACCCAAGTTGCTATTTTTCTAAGCTTCTTAATTAGGTACCTGCAGGTTTCTACAGTTGGATGAAGCTTTATTGGAAAGGGTTTTGAGAATTAACTCCATTCAACGGAAACAAGATCTTTATTTGCAAAGTTTAAAACTCTGGAAAAACTTAAATCTAAGAGCATGATTGTTTTAAATTGTAACTCTATTTATCCGAATTGAAAAATTTTCCCTTCTATTAGATGTGTTTCGTAATGCATATTTATTAATTTGATTTAAACCCTAAAATTTGCCAACTCATTTGCAGCATGCTTAGTCAAGTACATGACATTTTCTGTGAGAAAGAAAATTTTCATTTTTGTGGGGATTAAGTTGAGTTAAAGTACATACTTATTCTTAAGTCAAGCCATATGATAAATTCATAATTTTCATTTTCTACATTAAAATGAGTTCTTTAGCAACATCATTTGATAATATTTAAATTTAGAAAAACATATATTTATTTTTTAAAATACATTAAATCAAATACGTAGATTGGGTTTTGGAAACTTGCCTTCCTTTCCTAGTTTTGCACCGGTAAGATGTTTTAAGATGCGATGTTGATAACAAATGATTGAAAAAAATGAAAAAAAAAAGAAGAAGTTTCAATAAAATTTAACCACATTTTTTTTATAAAAATTAAGTAAATTTACACTTTTCTCCTTAATTTTATAAAAAATATACTTTCATATTTAATTTTGTAAAATATTATATAAATTTATTTAATTCTAATAAAATAAAATAAATAATATTTTATAATATTTTACAAAATTAAAAACTATCATAAGACTTTCATAAAGTCAAATATTAAGGTTAAACTATACATTTAGTTTCTATAATTCATTTATGAATTAATTTTTATATTGAAAAATTTTATATTTTAATCTTTATACAAATGCTTGATTATACTTTTTTATCTTATAATATAATAAAACATTTACTTATGAACTAAAAGTAAGTTTTTAAATATAAAAATTAATTTGTAAATATATTAATTATGGAAATTAAATATGTATTTTAATCCATTATAATTTTTAAAGAATACAAAACACCAACTTTAGTTGAAAAATACTTGTATTATTATTCAAATTTATTTTTATAAACTTGATATTTTTACTTAATTTTATATTTTCATCTTTTATCTTATATTTAAAGGAATAAATAAAAAATAATATTATAATTTTATTATAATTTTTTCATATATAAATATCTCAATTTATATAAATATATTAATTTTTTTACCACCATGACATGGTAGAAGTGGACTATAACTATTTGTCAAATGTTAATTTTTTCAATATCTTACTATGTATATAATGATTTTTTATTACTATATGTATTTATAAAATCAATAATTTGTATATCAATCTATTAGACCATAAATAATAATTTTTAATTTTAATATATGAGTTTTAATTTCATACAAATTTACAATTCTTTTATTTAATATTTTATTTTTAATTTTCTTAAACAAATTCTTTAAATATAGGATCTGCTTCATGATTAACTATAAAAATTAAATATATAGTCTAACTTAAATAATATTTACAATTTTATTCACTAAAATAAAGATATATCTGATGAAAAATCTTTTTATCTTTTTTTTTTCCTTATCCACCCAATTAAATGACGAAAACTCAGTCCTAAAAGAAATATTTTTCTTAATTGGTGACAATTTCTCTTTCATTTTTTTATTGGGCAAGAGTCATTTCTTCGCCAACTCTTGATATGTAGCCTGGTTTCAATTCCATTTCTTATGTTCCACCATAATTACTCTCTATATCAAAAAATCCTTTTTCTTTTCTATCTATCAGCTTAACTTATTGCTCAGCATTGATGATCAATGGAGATAATCAAGATCACTAGATATTGCATAACTATAAATTAGAGCTGAAAGGAATAAAGCTTAGTCACGTAACTGGACGAAACATTTAATACAGGTAATTATACTGAATTCTTATCACTAAAAACACAAACATTTTTAACAGAGTCAATTAAAAAATAATCAACAAAAGGAAGAGATGCTTTTAAAGTAAAATATGTAGATTATCCGTTGCTTTAATTGACGACTTCACTTAAAATATATGAAGCAGTAGAAAGAAAAGCTTTGGTAATTAAAAAAAAACGCAGATCGAACTTTTCTAGCATTTGTTGGATGTAACTGGTGCATAATAATTTTGAAGTGGCCATAATTTGCATGGATTTTCTGGTCCAAATGAACTGCAAGAAAAGCTGAGAAATACTCTCTATACAGAGCACATTAGATGTCTGACTAAGGTCCAGGGTCAGACGTATCCTATGATTGCTGTGAACAAATCAAAATATAAAAAAAATGTTAACGGAATTGTTGTTTGCACATAGTTCTGTCATAAAAAGCATGTGGAACATTGGATATGGAAAAAGGCATGGTAGAGTAGAGAAAATGGATTCTTGTTACGAGATTTGGTGGAATTTTATGAAACATTGGTGTGTCAAAATTGTTGAGCTAGTAAAGCATGATGGCTTTTTGACCAAGAAAAGAAAATCAATTGGTATTAATTGAAACATTGACTAAATGACCATCCACGTAAGCCCCTCTTAACTGAGTAAACTGTTGAGGTAGAGAAGCATTATGGCTTTTTGACCAAATATGAAAATTACTAGGCATTGGTTAAAACATTGACCAACTGAACAAACAGCCAACAAATGCCTACTTCAACAAGTAACGCCCTTTTCCTTTTTTTAATTTGAAGCAAGATAAAATGTTAACCTTGATTTAAAACATTTAATAACAATAATTTTTTAAAATACTTATTATATTTTTATATCTTTAATATAATACACATTTTTCAATAAAAATATATCAAGTACTGAAATTATTGAAAGAAAAGTGAAAACTTATCATCTCCATCTTACATCATTCTATATATCTTTAGCTTCCAATGATTTAATACGAGATAATTCTATTGCTCTAAGATGTTTATGCTCACTCTATAAAAATGGGTAGTGACACAGACAATTTAAATCGGCAATAGACACACCTCTTAATACGTAAGCATTCAACAACACACAGAAATAATGCAAAACACAGGTCAAATATTTTCATACACGTACCTCAGTTTCAGCAGGTTTGGCTTCTTCTGTTTTGATTTCGTCACCTGCATACATGAGAGATTTTTGAACCTCAAAATTGAGCGTTCCAAGTGCATTTTATCTTATAAACTAAATAAGAATCTAGATTTTGGAAATAACAGGTAGCTCTAGAAAAATGATGAAATCCAAAGGCAACAAGCTAATTCCTTTCTATTCATTCTAATTTGATTTTCTTCCGAGGTTCGGCAATGGGCTGAGTAGGTGGAAGGTAAGTATTTATGGCGATACTGTACATCAAACGCTTGTTCAACCGGTCTAAAACATCATCATAATATTGCGCAAAATAAAAGTGTTACAAGAAAAACAATTTTTTTGAAATAGGGATTGGAGAACATATCATAAAAAAATAGTAAATATTAAATTTTCAATGAATTGTGTTATCTTTAATGGAAACTTATAATATTTTATTTATTTATTATGTGTCTGCAGTCACATTAAAAAAATCGTAAGAGAAATACTGAGAAAATAATTATTGACGCGTTATCTTTGTCATTAGCTAAAATTTATCAAATAGAATGGAGACTTATTAAAAAGTGAACGAGATCCACGTTATATAATAAATTTTACCATATAATAAAAAATATGTTGAAAAGAACACGTAACTAAAAAGTGGGTAGCTAATATTCCTTGTGATGTTAATTATGAGGGCACAAGCAAAATGCATCTTATATAAAGTCTGAATGATCACAATACCTCCATCCTCAGGTAAATCGGAGGTCCAGAGAGTCAAGTTATCTCTCAACAATTGCATGATCAAAGTACTGTCCTTGTATGACTCTTCACTCAAGGTGTCTAACTCCGCAATTGCCTCATCGAAAGCTTGTTTAGCCAAGTGACAGGCCCTGTAAGTTTTAGTAATAACATTAAGACCAGAGCTGTTAACATATATAAGCAACTAATTGAATAAGTTCAAAGGATCAAAAGAGGGTTGGGAAAAACGCGTGTTTAATAACGTGAAATGAGAAAGTACTACATTTTAGAAGAAGAATGATTGTTCCTTTTTGGTCCCAGAAGAATGATGGTTTATAAACATGGGATGGAGCACCTAGCGACTAATTATTATGTTTCAAAAACTAAATTTTAAAAGCATTTTGTAGATGACTTTTGGACTTAGTTTTTGAATGGTATATATAATTACTTTTGAAAATTAAATTTTAGAAGTGACAATGCAAAAAGGTGTGCAAAAGCCCAAACCAAGTGGCTTTTCTTTTTGGGTCCTTTGATGACTATCTAATTCTCACTTTTAGCTATGCAAAGGCAAACTAAAACTATAGGCCCAAGTGGAAACTCAGAGTAAAATAACTTACCTTTCAGGGGAGTTCATTATCTCATAATAAAAGACTGAGAAATTGAGTGCAAGTCCAAGACGAATTGGATGTGTTGATGGAAGATCTGTGTTGGCAGTGGCTGAAGCAGCCTAATAATAAAAGAGAGTTTGCACATCAAACAACAGAAGAAGTTATATATATATATATATGATGCATTGAGCAATGCCACCAACCTCATATCCCTTTAGTGACTGCTCTGCTGCCTCCTTCCTTTCTTGGTCGGTCTTGAACTCAGCTAGATATCGATAATAGTCACCTTTCCTGGATCAATAATAACTTCTTAACATCAAGCAAATGCTAAGAATAATATTTTGATTTCTATTTTTTCTTTATTTTTATTTTCAAAAATCTAAGAATACATTATTTTAAAAAATTTAAAATATTAAATTATTAAATGATTTTAAATTTAAATTTAAAACTCTTCTTTTTAACTTTAACTTACAGTAATTTTTAACCTCTCTAGAAATGATAGATATAATACTATTGATATCTTTCTTTTTGACAAACTATTATTATTAGAACATAAACAAACAAAATCACTTACATATTCATGGCATTGGACTCCTTGAAGAGTGAGAATAAATAGGGTTGTATAAGACCAACAATACCAAAAGCCCAAAGGGGAATGCTATCGTTATCTATTAAAGCAATTGAGACTACAATTGCATGTATGATTTTTTTTAAATTTTAACTATTGATTTTTAATTAAAAATTATAATATTTCATTTTCTCCAGTAAAATTCCTCACTTGAGAAAAATGAAGTGTAAATCTATTATCATAAGAAAATAATTTACAGATACTTATTTAGACGCAATATACATCTGGAGAAAGAGATAGAAAGAAAAGAGTGAAGTGATAGATACAATAAGTGTACAATATAATACGAAAAAAATAAATAAATGAACATATTCATAAATTAGGATTGATTATCATATTATACCAGAAAAAGAAATGTGTATAGAAAAACAAAAATGGTAAAAAGTAGATAATATTGGAGATGAGTACTGAGTACTCACATCTTATAGTAGAAAACGGTAGCTTCTCCAGAGGTGGAAGAAGGAACGAGATGCTTGTCAATAATTGTAAGAATGTCACTGCAAATTTTGGATAGTTCGTCTTCCACCTTTTGGCGGTAATTCTTTATCAGTTTTGCATTGTTCTCATTTCCCTTGGACTCTTCTTTCTGTTCAATTGAAGACATAATGCGCCAAGAGGCTCTCCGTGCACCAATCACATTTTTATATCCCACCGACAGCAGGTTCCTCTCTTCCACTGTTAGCTCTAGATCAAGTTTTGCTACCTTCTTCATGCATTCAACCATTTCTACACATTTTTTTTTTTGCAGTAAATTCAATGTTAAAATCTTTCACTTTCTCTAAAATCAATTTTATCTTTACCAAAAGTGGAGTTCTAAAAATAATATATAATAATTTTTTAATTAAAAATTACATGATATCGTAGCATTTAATACATTAATAACATTAAATATTATATTTTTAATAAAAAATGTTTTATATTAATTTCTTATTATATGTTTAAAGATACACAAAAAAAAACTATTTTAGAATTTCTTTGTTTTACATTGCAAATCATCTTTCATACCATATATATGATTTATTTCTGTGTATCAAGGGCTTTCTTCAGCCGCGGGTCGAAGATTATTTCTTTTCAAGGAAGAGATGGATCTGAATCTGATACACATTCTGATTACACCCTAATAATTAACGATTTGAAATTTGAACAAATACACTTCACCATACGTAAAACATCAACGACACGTAAGTTGTTATACCTTTTGTATAAAAACTCTTTCAAATATACTATCCAGTATCTATGTATGATACATATCTAGGTAAACATAAAAGCGTGGTTTCGAGATTTTGATTTTGATTTGATCAAATCGAAATCCAAAATTATTAATATGATGGTGGTGAATTGAATAGAGTGACGTTTAGATTAAAATGAAGTGAAAGAAAAAAAGGGAAGACATACCATCATATCTCTCAGCCTGCTCAGAAAGCTTGGCCAAGTAAACCTGGGTCTCTCTCTCCTTCTCCGAGGACATTGTTGAGTCAGAGAAAAAGGGTTTTGTGAATATGTGATGTGTTTGTGGAGAAGAAGAAGAAGAACAATGCGAGGAAGAAGGGAAGGAGGGGTGGAGTGGTTATATAGATGGAGCGACTTGTGTGGGGGTGAGCCTAAGACTAAATCTGGACCGTTAGATGAGAGATTTTGAAAGAGGAAACACACAATTCGGAATGAATGCAATGCCATGCTTAGTTGTAATTACGGTTAGTACTGTCTCTTAATCTTAGGTAAACCCATTTTGCTAACCCAAACTTATCGGATTATACATCTTACAAATAGTAATATAGATTAACATAATACCATCCCCGGTGTTTTGGAAATAACTGCTTAGGGTGATTCTTTGAAAATTATACCATTAATTCAATATTATTGATCATTAAGTGTTTTAATTATTTGATTGCTGATCATGATCATGAGTGTGAGGATCTTGATCCTAGCATCTCCTCGTTTATCAATCTAAGACATTTAGGTATAAACATATAAAAGATGTTCAAATAAGAATTCTTTTGTTCTTGTATTGAAATTTGACATCGGATGAATTTTGCGGTAGGCAAAAGATGTTAGTCTAAAGAATAACATGACAGTTTAATAATTTGTAACCTTTTTTTTTTATGAAATAATGATTTTTAACTTAGTTTTTGGTTATGATAAATATTTTGTCACGTTAATCAAAAACATCATCAGACAGTAATTGTATAAACACTTTAGTAGTGTCATTTGGATTACAATAAAGACTAGGCTAAACATGAATGATAATTTAAGGAATTCAATTCCAAAAAAGTGAAGATTCAAATGAACACATTTTAAAAAATACAAGGAATATAATGTCAATTAAATATCATTTAAAATACCAATTAATTTAGAGAGAAATAGTAAAATAATCTCATCCAAACCCATCAGATTTTGGAGGATTGTTTGAAGTAATTTTTTAAGTGCTTCAAGAATTTTCAAGTGAGTTTTTTATCTTTTTTTTTTTTTTATATATTCCTATCTTTTTCATTTTTTTCTCTGTTAATAATATTGCACTACTGCTCATATATAATACTGTTTTCATTCAATTTCCCTATTTGTTGAAAACATAAATGACAGTGCCATTGACTTGCTCTATTTTATTCTAGTTAGTTGAGTTTGTTCCTCAGATATATAACACAAAAAATGCTTAAAATTTTAACTTTTAAATAGTAATTTTTTTATAACACGCGTCAAGAAAAAAGAAAGGTGAAAGCTGAAATTGATATCATGATCTCTATAATTAGCTGTAGATCTTCAAATAATTAACTAACACCTTTAACTATTGAGTTTGAAATATTTGTCTATGTCATATAACATTTTTTTAATTAAATAAATAGATATTTAAATATCTAAATATAGAAATAATAATTTATACCTTATATATAGTAGTTAATCCTTTTACGAGACTATAATATTGTTTTTAATTATATAGATACCTATTTAGTGAGATATAAATTTAATAAGTATTCCTATCCATAATTATTTATATAACTAATTTCTAACATATGTTATTTTAGTAAAGTTTACAAAGTTCCACATAATCCCGTAGAATCTATTAAAATCATGATTTAGAAGTCTTGTAAAATTCATTAAAATCCTGAATTTAAAATACTGCAGGATCTTGCAAAGTCTTAAAAGTCGTAAAAATTCTGTAAAGTTTTTTAAAATCTACAAGACTTTTTCAACTAAAAAAGTTCTTTAAAATCTAAATCCAATACACCCCCTAAGTCTTCTCTTACAAATGATATGCAAACAAAATCACTTGCTAAGTAATATTATTTGAAAAAAATTAAATGCTAATAATTATTTTAGGAATACTTATTAAATAATTTGAAACAAAAAATTAATTAAGAATGATTTTTTAACATGTGCAATATAGCGTAGAATAATAAGTTATATATGACAAGTTTTTATTATAAATTATAGTATTTAATGCAATTCAATGCATTAACAGTATTAAATGCTATATACTTTTCTATAAAAAATTATTATATATAACTTATCAAGTTTAATATTGATAGAAAACTCCTATTAAAAATTATATATTGACGTATTTCTATTATTAATTTTTAATGTGATTTTCGGTAAAATCTCCAAGTATTTAATATAGATACTTCTCAAGTTCTGGTTTCAATGCATATTAATTTAAGGATGAGATTTATTTTCTAACTACATTGATAATTTTCAGTTGAGGAAAGGGAATCTAACTCTTATCTTCTAAAGAACATGCAGACAAAATCACTTGGTAGGTAAAGTCATTTACAAGAAAAACAAATGCCAATATATATTTCATCCGATTTTTTTATACAATTTTTTTAATATATATCCAAAGCCACGTAATAAGGATTTGTATATAATATTTTGTATTAAAAATTATCAAATATCATAAAATTAAATATATTAATATTTATTGCTAATTTTTTAATAAAATTACTATTTATTAATTTTTTAGCACCTGTCCTCAAGTACATATTAAAATGGTCATTTTGCTAAAATACCCTTTCTCATCAAAATCCTCATGTCAAAAACGGTGAACAAATCAACAAATTCACGTCGTGTCATTTCGAATAGAGAAATGGTTTTGGTAGACAATAATTTAAGGTTTTAAATGAATTCAACGAAAGATTTGAATAGTTCTGAAGAGCTTAACGGGGAAAGATCCACTGTAGGTACTTTATTATTTCAGGTGCATTCCGAAGAATTTATAATATTTTTAACTTATAATTTTTAACTTGTATTAATAAATTTTATGGTTAAACTTATAATATAGACTCTATATACAATAAAAGCTTATTGAATAAATGTTTAATTAAACTATAATACAAAAGTATCCTTAGATAGATATGTTTAGCTGTGTAGAGTTGTACATGCAAGAATTTTGTGAGATCATTCATACACTTTCAAATGCCTTCCCTCTGAAATCTCTTATTTAAAAACAGTCCCTTAAAAAGCTGTAGTTATAGAAACTCTTTGCATTGCACCAACAGAATAATCAAACTAAATCGCGAATTCTGACGGTTGACCAAAAACACAACTAATTTACGAATCGCTTTGTCTGTGATCTCAGTACGGCACCATTCACGATCTACCTAGTTGCAATACTGTATAATAAAGAATGTTAATAATATAATTTTTTACATAATTTTAATTCACTTTTTACGGTGGGTATAAATTTTAAAATAATTAATTTACCAGATAAGTATTTTATTTTTATAAAAATTAAATTTAATCAGAAAAGATGTATTAAAGAAAGTATTAAAAAATATCCGGAGATCAGTTTAATTCTTCAAAAGTTGCTTACTTTGGTCTCATAAAAATGTGTTACATGTAAATACGATTACGCTTAAAGTGATTTGCCTTAAGATTAAAAAAAAAAAAAAGAATATCAATGAGTTGTTTATTTGTTTTGGCTGAGGGTTAAAGAAAAAATAAAGCTTCAGGAAGAAAGTTACTATTAAGGGCACCCGATTGAGGCACGTAAACCAAGGGACGGTAGTATAGCTATCTCCGCTTCGTTCTTGAATTTCACGACCATTCATTCACATTTTCTCTCAAAAATTAGTGATTGTTCAACAGAACTGATAGAAGTCCAATGATCGATAAAAAAATCATGAATAAAATAAAAATAAACAATAAATAATGCTAATAAGATATTAGAAAAATGAATTACTACAAACTTTGACAAAAAAATGAACTGTAGCTAAATCAACGAGAACCTTCACAATCTACAGCTTCCTCAATCCCCTGACCGGTTGTGGACAAAGATTGAAAATGTCAAGGCTCTGAGCGTTGTATATACAAAGATGCGCCAACTAAATCGATTCTCTGAAATTGCAGTGACAATTTATTTCAGTTTTATGCTATAGATGAGTTCTTTTTGCAACCTTCTTGTAACTGATTCATGGCTCCCACCGTAAATATCATTGTCTAAATTGTAGTGCTTCTTCTAAGACAACTTAAGTTATCATGGAAACTTTGGTTTGACAGTAATCTTAACCAACTAAAAGTGCATTTTTTTTTTTTTAAAGTGCATTTATCATGAAAAAATCTATATAACAAATGGGCGCTATGTCTGGCATGACCTACGAAAGTTGTCAATGTAACCAGTATACTTAATTTTTATGCTAAATTAAATGCTACCCAGTTTTACCAAAGCAAGAATATGTTACCTTGTTTAGAAAAAAGTTTTGGAGGAATTACCAGAGCAAAAGAATTGTGTTCATTTGTCATGGTGACAAATACTAGTGCTCAATCAATTATTTTTTCAAAAATGGTTTCTGGCAAACAAGTAGCCGCTGGTCACTGCCATTCTGGAGATCAATTATCCTTGCTTCCCAACGTACTTGTGTTGCAAGTGTGCGAGCTGTCTCTATAGCTCCCATGGTATCAGAAAGAATGACCCATCCCTGCCAAAAAGATGACATGTAATAACAAATTAGGCATCATTGACCATCCCAACATAGTGAGACTGACTACCTGTATTCAGAGTCAGACACAAATTCAATAAATTATTTCACATGAGGATCGCAACAATAATGAGCCTGCATCAATGGACTCGTATCACGTAGAAAGAATTATCGACCGAGATAAGATATCCTTTCTGGAAGATATGTCAAGAGAGAGAGAGAGAGAGATGAAAAAAATGCCGTGGAAAGGAGGACAAATGAAGGTGCCAGATAACTGTTCTGCTATCTTTTCTGCATGTACGCAGACAAAATTCAAGCATGAAACCTTCTAGAACAAATAATCATGAAAATGAATATAAACAGGGATACCATACCTCTGGACGCAGTATTCTATCCATCTCCAAGAACAAATCTATCATGCGGCACCTCTCTGAGGTGAGATGTGAGAGAAGTCCATCTGCGTAGAGGAGATCATATGTCCGCGGGTAGGTGGGGAAAGGTTCACACCTGAAAATCAATATCCATAGTCGGATACAAAAATGAATTATGCTGAAACTCAGGTGCGCTAACACTATTTTATCGAGGTTTATCAACGAAAATTCAAAGGGAACTCTAAAAAGGTGGATTATGTATTTTAGAAATTGATTTTACCGTTAACTATGTCAAGTAGTTTCAATCCAACACATCAAGTGCATGCATGCATACTACATTTATCTCTAATTCATTTTCAAAAGGAAAGCAAAACTAAGAAAGCAAGGGCGTGTTTGATATAAAAAGTTAGAAGCTAAATATTTAGTATTGAAATCTCAGCATCGAGTGTTCAATATAAAACTATTGTTATATTATGAAATTAATAAGGACCCATTCGTTTTAAGTTTCTAAAAAAGTTAATTTAATAATATATAAAAAAGATATATATTTTAGAGATTTATGAAAAGAAGAGGCTATTCTTTGTTTGGTTAGAATTATAAAAGCACTTTTGATTTTAAAAGGCAGTTATGGTTATAATTTTTTTCCCCAGAAGCTAATCAAAACAGCTTCTCAAGAATTTATAAGTGATTTTTCAAGAGAAAAAGCTGAAATTTACATTAGTTGAACTAAAATAATCTAATAATTTACAAAATCAGGTAATGTCATTTAATAATTTACAAAATCAGGAATTTCTCTGGAATTATTATGTAATTATCTTACAAACATCACAAAATCATTTTCAGTGCAGGAATTTTCATATTCAGCAGTAAAAACACCATGAACATATCTTTTAAAGTAAATTATCTAAAATTACTGTTACTTTCTGTCTTTCTAATTGGCATACACCACTCTTCTTTCATTTGTCATATTAATGATCTACTAATAAGGTAAGAGAAATGCATTTATCAGTTTATCACCATCAACCTCAACAGTATTACCTTGAATCAATTTTCAATTATATGGGAACCTCGTCTATATCTTGGGATCACACACAACAGCTTGCCAAGATCATGAACAGAAAGCAACTTACCAGTCATGCATGGCACCAGCAAAACCTCTATCTAGTATAAGAGGAAGTGCATTAGAAGCCCTGGCAGGAACAACATTCATGACCCACACTGATTTTTTCTCCTCCAGCAGGGCCGCATTCAAACCCCCATAATTAGCATTCATGTCCATAACATTCCGGATCATGTTATATGGAGGAAGTGGATCTTCATCTCCAGGTCTCTTTGGATGGTCAGAGAAAATTAGTGGTGTAAGCAATGACCAATAATTCTTAACAGCTGATCTCCAATACTGCAAATCTTCATAAAATTCTTCGGGCTGAACTCCTGCATAATAAAGAGAAATTAATGAATAGACAAAGCAGTACAAAATGGAAATACAATTTCAGAGAGGAAGAAGCAAGGAAAAGGACATAAGCAGAAAAGCAACAATACTTTCCATGAATTTTAAGTTCAGCTGAGCTCAATTCAGATTCAGATTCAGATGATCTGTTCTGTATTGCAATCCAGCGGTTGCTAGAGGTCCCACTTATACATGGCACAAGAGGCCGATAATATGAAACAACATCATCCCCTTCTTTACATAGCTGTATGCTATGCCGCTTACTACAACAAAGAAACAAATGTCACTGAAAAACTATAGTGATAATAGTAGGTGTTCATGAAGCAAGCCAATAGCAGATCTAGCAGTAGTTGATATTAGTCATCTCAACTAAACAGTCTACTAACTACAATCTCAATATATATTAAAACTGTCCAAGTTTAGGACAAGTGTCAACAAGTTGTACAATTTTTCCCCGCCCAAACCCTTTTTTATCTGCTGCATTATTTGATTGTGTTGAAGCATTGGTTTTATTCCATGCATGTGCACTGGTTCTGCTTCTAATTAGTTATCATTAATATCACCCATGTTAATACAAATATCCTTACCGGGATGCATAACAATAAACATCAGCAGTCTTCTGCCAGATGAAAGTCTCTTCTTGCTGAGCTAGAAGAGTCCAGCAGAGTTGTTGGGTCAGCTCTTCCATTGGATTTGACATTATTTTCTTTTTCTCCCGTGATGAACCTTGAGGCCTGCTTGTCGGAGAGGTTAAAACAAAATATCCTCCAGGTTTAAGAACACGGTCAACTTCTATAAGCAACATTCCATCTGTAGGATGAATGTCAATGTTAGAAAGCAAAGGACAAAAGTTCATATAGAAGCTAAAGCATATTCACTATGATATAGAAAAGTCACAGAACAAGGAAAAAGGTGAAAGGAAACGACATTGATATAGAGAGAGAGAGAGAGAAAGAAAAAGATAAATAAGGGATCACATCCTCATACAAACATTTCAGCCAACAATTCAGACAATAAAATTACTTAAAAAAGAAAACCTATATGGTATAAATAAAAGAAAAATCCAAACATATTTATTTGCCAAAATCAAGAAATTAATTCATAAATACAAGACTCCTGACCAGAAGCTGTCAAAAGCAAACTAGAAAGCAACTTAGATCTTGACTTAATGAATAATGACATCCACTCCTTGATAGGTTACTACCAAGATATTAAATCAGCTTAAATAAGATACATGAATGTAAAATACATTATGTCTACTGGAGATGCTACTAAAAACCAAATAGTAAGCAACTTATGACTACTGCTATCATCCATCAACTATCCCAAAACTTTAGCAGTTTGGAGGATGCCAAGAATAGTTTAATATTATAGATGTCCCTTCAATGAAGAGTTCTTTAAGCTTTAAGCATGGACGATATGTAGATCCACTTTATCTTTGTGCTGTAGTTTAGTGAAAACATTTGATTATAGAGATTATTATAAATAATAGCACTAGGATCATTGCATCTGTATCATTTCAAGCGTTAGTGATAATTCAGTCACTAGTTTTGGCATTTGACAAATAGCCTAGTCAAACCTATTTGGCCTCACAGTCTACAACACCAAATATTAAGCACCTTACTAATTCCTTTCCCTCATTTGTCAACAAATATATCTTTTGAACAAATATTACGGCTTCAACCTAAAATATGTACAGATATAATATGAATCCATTCATCAACATGTAAGGTAAGTAGGTAACCATACCAACAAAGAGGGATTGTGTTTTATAAAGTCTAAAAGGAAATCCATTCTGATAAGAATGAAATAGTAATTAATGCTCATTAACTGTATAATTACCTTTTTCATCCCACATAATGCCACACTGAGCACAGTGAACCATGTCATATGATAACGATGGATATGGAAGCTGTCTTGTGATAAAGTTGCCAATCATAGCTGGAAGGCCTCTTTCAAGAGACAATTGAACTTGGCTGCCAGTTGCTTCATATGCCGCAATACATAGTGCCATTATTTTCAGTGACAATAAATGAGCTCCAAAGCTACCAAATCCACAATTAATATCTAGTATAGTTCGAACCTGTTATCAAGTAATTAATACAAATCAGATATATATAATGGAACAAAAAGAACACTGTCCTTTATGATAATCGAAAAGAAAATATAGGCAGCTAAGTAACATAATTTTTTATTACTGAACAATACATGAACAATTTTGCTTTGCACAACCCTATCCTATCACTGAAAACATTATGGTTCCCCAAAGAACAACAATTAGTGAGTCACGGCATATGGCATGGAATACATACACCCGCTTGAGGAAGCTCAGTGTCACTTCCTAATCCTATCATCTCTGCAAGCTGGCGGGAATAATCTTTCACGCCGTCAAAGATCAATCCATCCTCTGAGTGAAAGGCAATTTGATTTTCTTCTAGTAGCATCAACCTAGCAAAATCACCACAAAGTTTTAGAAAGTGAAAAAAAAGAAATCAATCATGAACAACAAAAGAGACAGACCAGACAGAACCTACATTACTTCTATTCAAGTAGTCTCTTATCCAAAAAAAATAGAAAAAGAAAAAACCATTCATGCAGCAGCAGTTATCAGGGATTTAAATTGTGATTCGCAACTGGGATTACAGCCGCAATATTTTGGTTTGAGAGGTTTCTGCATTGCATCAAAACCACATTATGCCGCATTCACTCATAACTTCCAACAATTTAAACCATGGCAAGAAACAATTTTATTTGTTTAATCCAAAGGAGATCAACTTCTCACAGTAGCAATTATAGGAAGTACCTTTTGGTCATACTTCCAGACGAAAGAAACTGATCTTTGCTTATCTTCACATTCCCACTCCATATAACGTCCCTCCCACTCGGCCACCGCAACGGAATCTTGTATTCCTTTGGAGGCCGAACCAAACACTTTTCTGCACCCATCGACGCTTCACAATGCCGATCAAACTCTTCACCTTGTTTAAACCCCGACAACAAATTAGCAGATACATTGTGACAAGGCACTACGTTTTCACTTTCTTTGCCACAAAGTCCTAATTCCTTTTGCCTCGCGCCACCGCTCGACACAGACCTCAACTCCAAAAAATCAACCGCAGCTTGCTCCTTTATCCTTCTGTAGTTAGTGTAAATTAGAGATTCTGCACTGTGATGTGCTGAATCAACGGCGTTGGAAGACGACGACGATTGTGAAGAAGAATTCAATAATGCAATCAGCGCGAGGAGGCTTATCAGGCACAAGATTAACCAACTCAGTGGCGGTTTAGGGCCAATAATGAAGGACAGTTTCTTGCACCAAGAGCTTCTCATGTCCAAAATCGTGAGTTTGCTTATGTCTTTTCGCTTGCAGAGAGATTCAAATTCAAATCCACGCTAAATTGTAAACTCCGTCAACCCTAATTTTCCAACCATAACCGATCGTAACGCTGTGAATCCTCTCCGTCACTGCGAGCATTGAAACAACAATTGAAAGAAGAAGGCCGAGCGAAGATTCAAAAACTGAATCGCGCAGATTTCGGCGGACGATCGAGCAATGCTTATCGGAGGAATGAGCAAATGATGAATGAGATCGCCGGCGGAATTGAAATTCGAAAATTTGCAACGCGGATCCGATCAAAGACAGAGACGTCGATTCAGAGAGGGGAATTAGGGTTTTGGTGAAGAGAAGAGTGAGATTGATTCAGAGAGCGATTGTTTCCGAAATGGTGAGAACTGAGAAGAGAAGAAGAGCGGTATTTCCGGTTGGGTCCATATAATTTGTTTGCTACTTTTCCTTCCTTTCGCAACTCGGCATTTTTTCTCTTTCTTCCTTTATTTACCTTCCAATCATTTATTAATCAGATCCAAAAACAAAAACATAGACCATATTCAATTGCATAAATGTTATTAAACTAAACAAGGAATAAAAATGATGGGTCTTAATTAATGGTCTTTTATAATTTTACTAATTTCCATCATTAAACTCAGCATTAGTGGATTGATCTCAATAAATAAACTATAGAGCCTTAAAACCCTCAATAAATAACCCTTTATGTTAATTCAATGTGTTTTGTTTTGTCTTTGTTGAACTCAAACGATGACGACAACACATACAACTTCATTGATGAAGCAGCTGCCAAATGTAGGCAATTGAAGACAAGAAATATGAGTCTAAGTCCTTATTTTAAATATAAACTTCATTTTCATTTGGACATTTATTTTTTCTTATTTGGCATTGGGCAACCAAAATTTGAAGACCATAAAATTTTCCATTTAGGATTCCAACATAATATGTAGCAGGCATTTATTTTTTATAGTAGGTGTACTTAATTATGTGGTACACGTCAAGCTACTACTATGTCATATATGACACAATTTTTGACACTATAGTCAATTCCCATACCGTTGCACAGCCGAAGAGTAGAAAATCATTGGACATAAACCAACGGTTCAAATTAATTGATACGCGTCTTGAAGATTGACATTTTAATTTATATATTGACTGAGATTATAGGGGTTCAGATATTAAATATTTTATATTGAGCAAAAATTAATTTATAATATTTTATTGGAAATTATTTTTAAGTCAGAGAGGTGAAATAATTAATAATGATAATATATTTTATGGGTATATATTTCAATATTCTCATTATTAGAATAAAATATCATATTCATTTCATTCAACAATCTAAGCCTACTTTTTACTAATGGATCCAATATAAAGTTGGATATTACTATTTTAATGAAATTACTCAATAAATAATCAAAATATAAAAATGATTTAGCCTACCTTTAGATCTACACTCTACCACTTCAAACTCATGTTTGCTTTTGACCCAAAAATAGAAAGTCGTGTTTGCCACATCAGGAAATGTGGTTTTTTACCAAGAAAGAATGCAATACTTTAATTGTCTTAATTTATTTTTATGATATTGATAACTTGTGTACATTTTATCATAAAATTAATTTTAAAAAATAAAATATTTTAAATTTTATTTTCATTTTTTGTTCTTTTAATTTGACATGCGTGTAATTTTAGTTTTTAAAATTTTTTAAGCCAAAAAAAATTCTTATACTCTTAAAGTTGCACAATTTAGCCCCTTTGTCAATTTTTTAACTTAAAAAATTATTTGTTTTAAAATATGGACCAAACTAAAAAGATGAAAAATTCAACTAACCCAAAAGTTATATAAAAATCACTAATCAAAATTTATACTATAAATAACGATAATTCAAAATCAAATTTCAAAATACTTAGTACACACTTAACTAAATAATTAACTTTTTTATAATAAAAAAGTGACTTAAAAAAGGTGTTCAAATATAATAATAATTCTTTCCTGCTGGCAAGGCTCTCTCATGATGATGATCTCAGACCGCGTTGGAAATGAGAAGGGCCACACACTTTGCCACAAAATACTTGCTGGACATGTTGGGTTAGACTGATGAGTACGTTGTTCATTTATTTTATATTTTAATAGAATTTGTTTTACCAGAGTTGATTTGGGAAATTTCAATTTGTAATTATCTATAATATTTTAAAAGTGATTTCAGAAGATTTCATTTAGTCAGTAAAATGAATGAAACTGCTTTTAGAATATAAATTAATTTTAATATTATAAATTTAAATTTTTACTTTTATTTCCAGAGTTATTTTCTTTCTCGTTAAGAGTATTTTTAATAAATTATTTTAGGTCGTTGAAAATTTATTTTAAAAAACCTCTATTTAATAAAGTAGTTAAAATTAGTAATTGTTCACATTTTTTAAAACACGGTACTAATTAACAGCTGAAAGCAGTTTTCTTACTTTTATCTATGATCTTCAATGCTTAAAGTACCTTCACTTGTAAAAAAAATTATAAAGCAAAAATAATTACCTTTTTCATAGGTATTTTTATTTAACAAAATCATTGTATAAAATTGTCAAAATAAAGTAACAAATTTATTTATATTATCTCATTTTATTTAATAAAAATATCTAGAAATGACAATAAAATTAACAAATTATTATCTAATTTTTAAGATGATAAATAATTTAAATAAATTAAAATACATTTTATAATTCTTTAAAAATATTTTTTACCAAATTCAAGTTTTACTATAGTAATTAATTATATCCTCTGTCATAACAGTTAATGATTTTGAGTCATGCATCAGAACTATATTATTAACAGAATATTACTGGCAAAAACACGACTTTTCATCTCCATCCTATAACCTCCTTTAATCTCTTTCTTACTAGACTCATCAAATAATATCAAATCAAAGAATAATTTTTCAAAATAAATATTGATATTATTGTAATTTTAAAAAAAATTGCAATCTTAGTCAATCATAATTTGAATTATACCAGTAGAAACAGTGCATCATGATTCAAATAACTTATTTGATAATTTTTAATTTAAAAAATGTCTCTTACTATTATCTAATGTAATAATAGAAATATTTGTTATTTTAATTTTTTAAATATAAAACTTACTTCAATATAAAAAACAATAATATAATGTATAAAACAGTTGTTTCACAGTCATAAATAATTATATTCAATAATAAAATGTACGCATTTTTTATAATACTAAAGAATTGTTAAAAACATTCAAAATAGAGTACTGTTAACGACCACTTCTCAGTCAAGTTATGGAAAGGACCCTGTATACATGAACTTTCACAAACATACTGTTTCAGTATTTCAGTATTCTGAAACCAAAATTATTTATAGGAAATAGATTTTAACACATAAACCAAAGACGCAACATTTATATATATTTTTTTATTGGTTTCAAGGAAAGAGACTTCCTTCTCACAACCCAGAGCATGCAACATCAAACATATCACTACTACTAGCTAGCTAGCTAGTACATACTCTTCTTACATATATGATTCCTCGCATGCATATTATTTTTAGCCAGACACAAACTACGCGTGCACTAGCCTTAGAACAAGTTTTTATCAACTATTGCTAGCCACGAAAGTACAACACAACAACTTTATTATTTCTGGCTAGTAGCTTCATTCATTTCTGATCCCTACCCATGTTCACGTTCATGTCCATCTCCATGTCCCTGTCCATGTCCCTGTTCCTGTTCCTGTTCCTGTTCCGTTCACCTGCACCACCGCGTTCCACATTTGCTTCTCTTCCCCACTGACCCGCACCAGCACCAGTGGTTCCATACACAGCAGTGCCACTAGAATCGAACCCAGCGGGAGAGCCATATCCAGGAGCAGTACCAGTAGTTCCATATTGAGTACTATATTCAAATCCAGTGGCTCCATAATCAGAACCTCCACCTGGGGCACCATATCCACCACTCCCTCTGCTTCCATAAGCGTAGTTGCTTACTGGGTCGGTGGCAGTTCTGCTTCCGAATTCCTCATTCTTGCGAACATCACGGTCACGGTCACGCACGTCGAAGGTTCTTTGAGCATTTCCAAAATCGTCTCGGTGGGGTTGTTGATGAGCCATGCTTCAGAAAAGAAGAAGAATGTTTAGATGAGTGAGATGGGAACGAGTTTGGGATCGTGCTATATATACCGAGAGTTTAAGCGGTGAGGATTTACTACGCATACCACCTTAGCTTATATAGCATCTGCCACGTTCGTTATTTTGGATGGATTCGACTCGTTTATTGTTGACACGTATGGTTTTCAAATTCAAAGATATTATTGTGTAACATCGGTGCGGTGGGAATGGGATAGATAATGGAAGCGAGGATGTAAATGTCAAGGGTCTTTGAATTTCCGTGAATTTATGTTTATTTTAATATATTAGTTATAATTTTTGTGTTAATGTAATTATAAATTAGGTTTAAATTAAATTTTAAACACATCACTAAGATAATTTATTGAAGATTTTTATATTTACATGGTGACACTAAATAAAGTGATTCAAACTTTGTAAATGCATTTGAAGATCATACTATAGAAAGAGATACGATAATTTCTTTCTCTTCTTTCGGGTGTGATTACGATAATTTTTTATTTTAAACTTTAAAAACTAAAATAATTTATTATTTTTCACAATAAAAATCAGATAAATTCTCGTTGAGTATAAAATGAATTTATTCGTTTAGCACTAGTATAAAAAACACTTTTTACAACAGAATTCTACATTGATTTTTTGTGAAACGAGGTAGAAAAAGATGTGGTAATATTTTTAAAATTTTTGTAAACTTTTCTACATCAGTTGTCAAAAGAACTGATATGAAAAATATTTTTTACATCAATTGTAAAAATAATCGATATAAAAAAATGTGGTAGCATTTTTGAAATTTCTGCAAACTTTTCTACATCGTTTGTTTCTGGAAACTGATGTAGAATCAATTCAAATTTCAAATTTTCATATACGCACTAGCGAAATAGCATAAATTGGAGACTCAAACATATTTTTCTTAAGTTTCTAAAACTTCTGTTTTGTTAGCTGGTAGACAACGAACATGTAAAGATTTTCCAAGTACATCAATTATTTTAATTTCTTTCATTTTTTTGTTGCTTCACTTTTGTTGTTTCTTCTTCTTTATTAAACAATTTGATGAACATTGCATCTTCTTTATGTTTCAGATTCAAATAAAGGTGAACAATAATAAAACACGATGAATACAATAAACACGACGAACACAATAAACATAATCAACACACGACAAACACGATGAACATGAAAAACTTGAAGAACACAATGAACATGAAGAACACGACGTACACCATAAACACTGACATTTATGGATTTTAATTTAACTTAAGAAAATATATTGATAATATTGACGCAAACGTTAAAACTCTCAGAGAAGAAAAATACTGACGTTATTGACAAAGATGAACATTAAGAATATTTTTTACATCGGTTATTATAAACAACTAATGTAGAAAGTGACACTTTTTACATCGATTTTTAACAACTGATGTAAAAAGCTTTTTTCCACTAGTGTAAATAGAAAAATACAAGACCAAAGTAAAGAAAAAAAATAACAGAATACAAGTACTAGAAAATTAATAAACTCAAATAACTAACTAAAGATTAGTTATAATATAATCACTAATAGTTATTATCTTAATTAATTTTTTTATCACTCAAGTTGACATATGGAAGAATCTTCTTCGTGTAATAACCCCATAAGCTAAGATATGGATATCCATTGTGCCAAACTTGAAGATATTATTTTGAAGTGGTTTTAGATGAATAGCCTTAATGAGAACATCAAGCAGAAGAGATGGGAAGAAGATGAATAAGACCGTCCTGAAGTTTAGATTGAACAAAGTAACAATCCACTTCGATATGCTTAGTCCTCTCATGAAAAGTAGAATTTTTAGCAATGTGGATGATAGATTGATTGTCATAATAGGTAGCGAATGGAGTTAGAATCTGAAGATGGAGATCATCACACAAGTATTTGAACCATTGCAACTCATAGGATAAAGTGAAAAGTGCTCGACATTCAGCCTCAAAGGAAGATGTGAATATTGTGGATTGTTTCTTTAATTTCCAAGAAATGAGAGAATTACCAAAAAAATACACAGTAACCAGTAACTGGATGTTTAGAACCAATACAACCTACCCAATTAGAATATGAAAAATCATGTAACCTTGACTCATTAGAGTGAGGAAAGAAAAGGCTAGCACCAGAGCATGATTTTAAGTATTTTAACGCATGATAGGCAGCTTGTAAATGAGAGGAATCGAGATGAGCCATGAATTGGCTTAATTGTTGGACTAGAAAGCTAATATCAAGTCTCCTATTGGTGAAATATAGTAAGAAACCAATTAATCTTCTATAAGAGCTTCGATTATCAAGTAAATCGATCACCAACAGAGTCAGACAACTTGGAAGAAGGAAGCATAAGACAAGTAACATGTTTACTCCCTAATAAGCCATTGTCTGAAATTAAATTAAGACAATATCGGCGTTGATTCAAAACAATATCCTTGCAAGACCTAGAGATTTCTAAGCCAATGAAGTACTGTAATGGACCCAAGTCTTTAATAGAAAACTCTATGTAAGTAATGCTTAAACTGATCAATCTCAGCTAAGTTAAAAACAATGTCATCAACATATATTAATAAGGCAATGATGTGAGAATCATCATGTTTAATAAACAAAGAATGATATGTTGAATTTTAAAGATATCCAAGAGAAACCAAAGTACTAGTAAGCTTCAAATTCTATTGTCTGCTCGCCAATTTCAAACAATAAAGTGATTTGTATAGCTTACAAATATGATTGGGAGAGGAGGAGGAGAAACTAGGAGGAAGAGACATATACACCTTTTCAGACAAATCTCCATAGAGAAGTGCATTTTTTATATGAAGCTATTGAAGTTTCCAATCATGTATATTAGCAAGAGCAAGAAGAAAACGAACAATGGTGAGCTTCACAATAAGAGTAATTTTTTTAAAGTAATACATCCCTTCATTCTAAGTAAATCATTTACATTCTAAATAAATCCTTTAGCAATCAAGCGAGCTTTGTATTTATCTATTGTATTATGATCTGCCTTGTGTTTAATCTTGAACACTCACTTACATCCAATAAGATGTTCATAGGAGGAAGGTCAACTATAGATCAAGTTTATTCATGTCAAGAGCTTTTAGTTCATCATTCAATGCACTTCTCTGACAATCTTGAGAAGAGGCTTGAGAAAATGTCTGAGGTTCTTTGTGAACAAGGATATTTAAACAAAATAATTGATAAAATGAAGAGCATTTATCGTAGGAAAGATAATGGTGAAGTGAGTACTTGACATAAGAAGAAATGTTTGGTACAGTAATAGAAGAAAAATTAGTGTAGTAATCATTCAAGTAATGGGGTCCTCTTTGTTCTTATAGACATACGAATGAATTAGGGAACAATAAAAGTTGTATTAGAAGAAGAAGCACAAGGGATGTTGGGTTAGGAGTTAGTGTTAGATTTTATAACATTAATATTTATATTAATTTGTGGATTAACATTATTAAATTATTATAGCTATTTTGTTATTATTTATGAAATAAAATAAATGTGTATAATTATTATTAATTGTATAGATTTTGTGATTGGGCTCTTTGTGTGAATGACCCGTGATGGGTTTGGTCATTCTATGTGTTCAATGAGAGTTTCTTACTCTCATATGATTATGCTTATATGTAACTATTACCCTATTAGACAGTTACTTGTGTGAAATAATAGTAATCAGAGAAGAGAGTAATACAAGCTCACTTGAAAAGAATGATTGCTTATGGATAGTACATTCTCATTAAGTAAACGTTTAATGCAATTATTCAATTATATATTGTTAGAATTATAATGAGATGTTATGATATATGTTATGTATGATCAATGATATCTTTATAATCTTATATTATATTCTTCAGTTAGAGGACAAAGCATCATTGACAGCGATTTTTTGTAACAAAAAGGAATTAGTAATAAGTGGTTTATTTAGAATAGGATATAAAAAGCCAAAGGAATCAAGAGTGTGGGCTGGAGGACAAATAAAAAAGGACAAATTTGTATTGTCAAATGTCATTTTAGCCTGAGTGGAGGATGAAATGAAAGGAAAATTGGACTCATAAAATTGAACATTATGTTAGACAAAGAAACATCTATCAAACAAGTCATAAAAGATAAAACCTTTGGTACCATTTTTATAACCAACAAAATGACAGTTCCTTATTCTTGGAGATAATTTTGTGCTTGAGTAATTGAGGGTGGAGGCAAAGGCTAGACAATAAAAAACTCTTAAATGACTTAAGTATAATGACTAAAGTCATTTACAAGAGTAAGGAAGTATTTGTAATCTTCAACAGAACAAACATTCAAAGGCCTCGATATGTCAACATGTAGTTTCTCAAAAATTGTAGTTGTTTTTATGATGCTTGTGAGAATAGATAATTTTCTTTGTTTTGAAAGATACCAAACATTATGTATAGTATTAGAAATATAGGAATATTGGTTTGACAATAAATAAAGTATATCTCTAGACAAGTGCCCTAATCTAAGATGCCAAAGACTAATAGACTGTCTCTTAGACATTATTAGGAGAGAAAATTTGACTAAGGAAAGTATCCAAAATAGAATCACAATGAGGACTAAGTTATGTGAATGATTCAGAATGTAAAGATCATTGACTTTATTAGTCATGTCAATCATCTCTTAAGGTTGTACCTACATGAGAATCAATTGGCACTATTAAAAATTGCAAAACAGTTTGAATTGACAATTATTTTTAAAATTGAAATGAGATTGATAGAAAAGGTTATAATACACAAAACATTAGTGAGTGTTAAGTAAGAAGAAAGTCTCATAATGCCAGCAAGAGTTACAAAATTTGTTTACCATTTGAAAGGAAAACTGAAATTAGATCAATGGCTAAAATAGAACACAATAGATTTTTATCATAGCAAATATGATCAGTGGCACCTATGGCTTATACCTATGTGCAAAGAGATTTGTGAATTATAGCTTTCATATCCAAATTCATGCTTGTTGTGTT